AATGTGGAAAGGTAAATCGAAATATGCTTTACAATGTTTTGTAGCTTCCAACGGTATGTGTCAATTATCGAAGCAGCAGACGGAAATTTCTACCAATATTTGAGAGATCAGTCATTGTCCAAAAAGCACAAGTGGTCGAACGCTTTTAGACCATCTGCAATGCTTCTAGATCAAATCAATACAAATTTCGTTGAGACGACTCATCGAATTTTAAAGTTGCATAAGCTGAACAGAAAAACACCCGTGTTCAGATCGATATTTAAGTGTTCTGCTTCGCACAATTGATATTGGATAGAAGCTAGAGTTCAAAAGTACTCCACTGAATGCCGTAGCAGGGCTGTGCTGGGTCGCGAGCCACAACTACGTCGTCTTCAGGAAACACTTACACCTGCTGCATGTCAACTGCTGAAGCGGCACTTGCGTGTTCCTGTTACTGACTTCTTATTGTCGGCGTTTGTCCGCTGAACAGCGTACCGCTGTCCTTAACTATGCTCATCAGTTGCTTTACGATGGATTACCTACTACCATCACAATGCCCATCGTCCGAAATAGCACAGGCACCAACCGTCAACAGAATGTCGATTTGGATGTTACCTTAAATGACAACGAGATTGAAGAAATATCTATGAACTCAGAAGAGTTTACGAACAGAGACAATGAAGAAGACGAACGTGCACACAATGACCGACTGTGTGATATTTGCCATCAACGTCAGCCGCCCAGTGAAATAGCTGATGGAAGTGCTTGGACTTTTGCCCATGCAACGCTATGTTTCGTTCGTTCTGTGCCTACGACCCATCAGAAGTATCACCTTGGTTCAACTGTCCCATGTGCGGTGCTGTCACGGACTCATAGTGGAGTCATTGATTAGGACCTAAGGAGCTGTGTAGAGACCGAGTAAAGGCCCTTTTCAGGGCCACCCACAATTTGATTTAAATTTTGTTTGAATTTCTTGTTTCCATTTTAAGGAGGAGTCATGAAACCATCAATAATTCATTTTACATTCATATGATTTGGTTAATAGGTACAGTAGAGAAATGTAGTAAGATCAGTTCACTAGTACAACAAAATCATTTCTATTGCTAAGGTCAAGTGAACAGACACTGATCGGTCTTCACAATTCCATAGTAATTAAGCTGTAGATTAATAATTATCATCGCTCACTTTATTACTTTTCCAACAGCTTTTCAGGTTTTTCAAATTTAAGGTTTCAGTAAACGATTCCGTACAGAAAACAACGTCATATAATGAAGACTTACATGTCTAACAAGTCATTAATAATAATAATAATAATAATAATAATAATAATAATAATAATAATAATAATAATGGAACATATGAAATGTAATAATAATATTTCTTATGAGATTTATCACTGCATCGAAAAAATCGATACAGTGATAAATGTCATTTAGACGTCTGATAAATGAATGTACAGTTTAACTTAACAGATTGAAATACGATATTCTAAATACATAATGGTTACTTGATACAATTGACCTTATTCACATTAAGTCATATCATTGAAATAGAAATTTATTTCACTAGACATAGGCTTGTTCATTGACACTTCATTCAACCTATATTACACATATGCTTGTCAAAGAAGGTTATTTTTTCAACATTCAGCGATTTACTGTTTGACAGTTTAAGAGTAATTATTATGTCTTTGTGACGGAAAATGTACATGCAGTTTTTCATTGTTCGTCCAGTATGTTTAACAAAGGAAACTGTTGGATTTGGAAATATAATTTCAGTCTTTCTAATTAATTAACGTTTGCAATGTTATTTACTAATGAAAATAAAAAATTCAGATCATTCATTTGAAAGGCTGTGCACTTAAAAAACATTGGCTGTTAACATCACCTGCCAAAAAATATTATGCCCACCTTACAAATACAATTACCGTATTACATGACTGAGTACACTAACATGTCTTTTCGGTGATCATTAATAAGTGATCAACTACAAAGAATGTACAGGTCAAAATATTTTATGCTTTTAATGGATTTACAAAAAAAGACCTTGATAACAGTATTGCGTTCATTTTCGACACCCTTTTCAAAGCTAAAATGATCAACTTTTTGGTATTAAGAATAACGGTTTGTAAAATAACTGAATTATGAAGATTATTTGATTTTTTGTCAGACATTATTACTAATTTCAGACAGCGTAAAAGTTGCTTCATTTACACATCTTTTACGGTTAGCGTGACTTCGGCATGCCCCGTTCACTTTCTCTTCATCATGATTTATTCATATATTTACACGTATTTAACGTTTATTAAATGAGCGAACTATGTGTTAAATTAACTTATGGGAATACTTAAATGAAAATTTGTTTACTAATTGTGTATTAAACATTTGACTACCTTTTTTGAAATACAATAATCACCATTATCAACTATTAATAACAATTGTCAGTTTTTTTTCAAAAATTAACTTTCAATGATCTACGCATTATTATTACTCTTGTCACGATAAGTGATAACTTTAGTTGGATTTCTACTTCATAAAAAGAAATTATCCCGATATACATTCACTAACAGCAGTATAGCAGGGTAATGAAATGGATTTGTTTTGTTTTTTTCGAAGTTAAATTTTTTTACAAAATTCAGATGGAACAATGCGAAAATAGTTAATTATTGTAAATAATAATCGGATGTAAAAATGTCAATTCTTACATCCAATAAAAGCACTTTATTCTAGTTCGATTTGAACGAATCAAATTACAAAACTGCACCATTTACAGCCAATTAAAAAATTATTACAGGTGACAAAATGTTTGTTCATTGGCACTTGAGCACACACTTCCTAAAACAAATTCACCAATCACCAATTGCTAAATTTTTTTAATATACTTCATTTTCGAAAAAAAGAGTGGTAGTGGATAATACGAGCCGTGATTCTATTGTCAACCCACTATGAAAATACAGAACAATCGAAAATAAAGTTGAATACTTTTAGGAAAGGATTATTTCTAACAAATCATTTGCTGACAATTTAAAGTAGTAGATGATTAATGGTGTAAATAGCATGTGTAATAGGAAGTTCATTTCATCAGTGAGCAGTTGATGAACAGATAAATAGATTGGAATAATTATTGAATCTTTGAAAAATATGTGTTTGATCACACATATACTTGTTAAGAACATTGATATATAAAAATAAAAGGTCAACTAGACTGGAAATGGGGGGGGGTAAGAGGAGACAAGGACAATAATGATAATAAAAATAATGTGAAAACAATTTGACACTTCATAGTGTGACAGTAGTATTATAATCTGATTACATTTGTGTTTGAAAAGTGTGCTTTAATTTATTCAACACAGCGCTTAGTATTAAATAATAGTTGTTTGACATTAAATAGGAATAATATATATTTGTAAAATATCAGTGAATGAATTTGTAGTAAATCCAACGTTTCGCCTGGCAATCTGGTTCAAGCTTTTTCAAGGAATTATAATCAAACATCAAAATTATCGAATTTAAATAGGTACATGGTTCTCCGGGTTCATTGTACACTGAATAGGTCATCCAATCAACGTTAACAAAGTCTAAACTAGGTAAGTGTATCAGTGTGCAAGAGGTGTGTTATGTGAATTGATGAGTGTTCATATAACATATTGTATAGAAAACGTAAGGAGAAATTACATTCACACAATATATTGTCTCTTATCAGTGAATTTCTAAGGAAACATACAATTTGTAATATATGATATGAATCATATCTGTCACAGCATGTATAAAATGAAGATAATTAAACAAAATAAAAATAATAAAAGAGTGTAAGTTTTTAAAAACTGTATGTATGTATCATTTTTTAATATTCCAGTGAATTGTTTAGACTTTGTTAACGTTGATTGGATGACCTATTCAGTGTACAATGAACCCGGAGAACCATGTACCTATTTATATTCGATAATTTTGATGTTTGGTTGTAATTCCTTGAAAAAGCTTCGACCAGATTGCCAGGCGAAACGTTGGATTTCTACAAATTCATTCGATGAGATTTTACAAATATATTATTCCTATTTAATGTTTTGCATCAACTTGGCGCTCAAATACTGTGAAACTAAACGCTCTAATTTAGACGACAGTTCTTATATAGTTGTTTGAGTTTCTTAATGAAATTACCTCAGTTGGTTCCATTCAAAATCAACTAAGCACTTACATCGGGAAATGAATCGACCAAATAGTTTTATGTATTATTATATTATCACGTGAATTATCCACCAGTGGAATTACGACTTTTCCGACCGTAACGCTGTGACAATCAATGACGTTCGATCAGTATGAGTAATCTGGCATCCTTATTGGTCCTTTGTCCGCCTAGCCCTTCCACTTGAGTCCAGAACACCAAATGCAGCTTCTGCTATACGAATCGTTTATTTCAAGCATACTCTGTTTATATACCAGACAGACAGACCACATCACATCATTAAATAAAAAATAATCTTTGTACAAGATCAGGCCAAATGTGGCTGTGAACGTAGGAGACAGTAATCAATAAACTGAGTATAATTTAGGAACAATATATCGTATAATAATAATCAATAGGTCAAAATGAAGCTTATAATAAGATGAATATAGATATACATAATCTAGTTACTGAATAGTTATACAATAGGAATATATATATAGAATAATAGTCCATTTATAGGTTCCGGAAGTTATCCGTATTTACTTCTTCACTAGGATATAACATCATCCAGCTCAGAGAACAAAACTCTATCAAAATTCCAAATGAACGAATTTAATCACGACTAATGAATAAAACGGATCTCAGTTATTACTAATCGATAATGATTAAGTGAATAATATATTGTTATATCTTTTAATTTACCCCCTTCACTAATTCTGTAGAGAGATTTAGATTTATCAGCCAATCAGATGACTTAAAAGTGACGGGATGTTGATTATCCTCAAGTCTAGTTTCCATGTTTATATATATATATATATATATATATATATATATATATATATATATATATCAGCAAAATTAATTAAAAGCTGTCATGTCCAATCTGTCTCATTAACGATTTATTCAAATAAGATTTCTTGAAATACCTGAAATGCATATAACCTTTAGATGTCTATTTATTTCACACATAATTATTCATTGTTGTTTCAGTGATTCTAAATTAGCAAACAAACGAAATTATTATTTTATGCCACATAAGCACACGTTCTGTGAAGCTAATAAATTATGTTACGAATACGGATTATTAGTTGATAAACGTTGGAAACTACCAGTATTTGAAGATTTACAGTATATTCATGAAGATGCAAAACTTAACACATTTTGGTTGGAATATAATGCATTATTTACACCACGTATAGATGATTATATTATATGGCAATATCATGATATATCTATAGAACTAATTGATTTGAAAAAAATGCAAACTACAAATCTCCCATTATCTTGTTATGATAAACGTTATTGTGTGATTCATACTAAAAGTGGTATACTGGAAGGAGTTCATTGTAATAGTGTTAATAATGTTATTTGTGTTGAAGCAAGCATACAACATGTCAATAAACTGTTAGATACTAATTCATCAATTTTATTAAAAACATTCACTATTGAAAAAAGGGTTGATACAAAATTTGTATCCATGTATAATGAAACAGATGGTTGTTATGATCTATTTACAAAACATAATATATACGATTGCATTTTACAGTAGGTTTCAATTAAATTATTTTATATTTTAACATAATAGGACGAAAATAATAGGACGAAACGGCTGTCCAGTGCTTCCGGGTTTTCTACGGTGGTCTAGCTTCAATTGACTCATGATTCCATGTATATATAAAAAAATATAAATTTCGTTAATCATTACAATTCCTAAGCCTCATTTACTTTAAAAGTATATCGACTAATGCATAATTTTAACTAAATGAATTGAAAAGAGAAATTGGAAAAAATAACACCTTTGGATGCCGGTTCAGTGTTCTAGTGGTTAAGCGCTCGCTCGCAAAAACTGATAGGTCTTGGGTTCGAATCTCGTGAGGCGGGATCGTGGATGCACACAACTGAAGAGTTACATAATAGGCCGAAACAGCCGTCCAGTGCTTACAGGTTTAGCTTCAATAGATTCATGATCTGAACTATCAAAACTACTATGATATTCACAAAACCCCTTCTGAAAATAATATATGTTTAACGTTTTGGAAAGACTATTTATTATTACAACTCCATATTTACTTCTATATATTAGTAATATCATTGTTTACATTAATATACTCCTAAAGATCAGAATTATTCATTAATTTTGTTAAATTACTCTATACATTAGTTTAGGTCCAAATAAATAAATAAAAATTAACCTTATGAACAGTGAAAACTAAATAGAGCAATGATTTTATAGTTGAAATCATGAGTCAATTGAAGCTAGATCACTATGGAAAACCTGGAACCACTGGACGGTTGTTTCGTCCTATTGTGGGACTTTTCTATAAATTGAATCAAGAATAAATAACAAGAAGAAAATTTTCTTTTTGACGAAATCATTTACTGAAGCTGTACATTCGTATATATAGTTATACGGAAAATATATATGTCTACAGGAGGCTAGGAAAGATTGCATTATAAATTGATTCGAGAAAAAGTAAACAACAAAGAATCTCATGCATTGTTGAGGCATTGACAATTCACCAACTCAAGCCCGAAAATTGAGTTCAAAAATAATACGTCCAACCTCTCATGCTTCCTTGGTCCTAACTCCCTTTTCCAGAATGTTGTGGATTTTGTCACCTTTCATTTTTTGATTATAATTCAGTTACTATTATTATTATTGTGACCTTTATTCTTGACGTATTTTCTTCCTATCTGTCAATTGAACAACTGTCTTTCATAATTCAGACCCATAAATTATTTCCAGCCTTATATTTTTTCTCTTACTCCTTGACTATTGCATAATCTCATTTGGTAATAAGAGTCTCGAAGCAATTTATGATGCAATTCTTTCTATCATTCTAGAGACACATATTTTCCATATAACTATATATTTACGAATGTACAGCTTAAGTAAATGATTTCGTCGAAAAGAAAATTTTCTTCGCTGAATTATCTTTTTCTTATTCAATGACATTATGAGTTATTTCAATGTTAACTTGTTGAGCTGATGTTTATAAAGAAGGCATAAGTATAAATGCCTATGAGAAGAGTTGACTGGTTTGTCAACTCACAACGATTTTTAAGATTCATCCGACATTCATTTATTCAATACATCGATTAAGAATACGATCAGTCTTATTTTGCTTTTAATAAAAAAACACTCTGACTTTTGTTTAGATTTATAGAATACCATAAAACGGAGAAATTTAACGAGTTAGTTCACCTCGACAATTACTCAAATTGTTTTTAAACTAGTCTTTAAAGCCCCACTGATTTTGCTCTGAGAATCAGTAATCTGACTAATAATCTTTAAGCAAGCTTTTTCATCATTAAACAACATATTTATGTCTTAACGATTTCGTGTTAACTCTCTTTATACTGCAATTTATATGGTTTGTCGAAATATGGCCAATTAAGATGGGGTACCTATTGATTTTTAACGGAATCATGAATTTCCCATCTTTAATTTTTATTTCAACTTATCCTAAGCTTTATTTTGCTTATTAACTTCAAAGTTAAATATATACCTTGTTGCTGTAGATCGTTAATGAATGACCTATAGATAACAATTCCTGAATTATTTCGAGTACTCTGGCGCAAAAGTTAATAAATTACTATTATTAAAACGAATGTATAGCTTGAATAAGTGATTTCCTGGAAGCACTGAATGGCCGTTTCGTTCTATTGTGTGACTTCTCAGCAGTGCGCATCCACGATCCCGCCCCGCCAGATTCGAACCTGGGACCTATCAGTCTCGCGGCGCGAGCGCTTCAGTTGACTCATGATTTCAATTATGAAATTACTGAAATCTTCACAAAAAAGCCCCTTCTGGTAAATGATTTCCTTCGGAAAGAAAATTTTCTTCTTGTTGATTATTGTATAATTTTTAATCTAAGGTATTTAATAACCTTTCATTCTATTTTATTATTAATCTAACTGTAATAATGAAAATAAAATAAAACGTTTTCTAATAATGTTCAATTTTAAATTTTAGATGTGCTGAAACTGTAAATTGTATGTCAGGCTATTTCAATCAATTTCAAAGCCGATGTATTATCATTCTATACCATCAAAGTTTATTACCTCATCAATATTCAGATTCTATATCTCAGTGGTTAAGATTTATTGCAAATTATTAAATGTAAACAATGATTAATTATTTTGTTAATTAATAACTTGTATTTGATAATTTCCCTATTTAATTAACATTATTATCATAAATTATTGTATTTACTAAATATATAATATTTAACAAGACAAGTGCCAGGACAGAGTGGGTTGGAGAATGTTGGTCGGCGGCCTATGCTTCATTGGGGGTAACAGGCGTAAGTAAGCAAGTAACAAGACAAGTAACAAGTAAATATAATAATTTTGTAAATTAATTGTTCTGACTACTCTATGAACTCAAACGAGTAATTTATTATTATTTGAAATGATGCCTTCGTTGTGTTTTTGTTGTTGTTGTTGTTGTTATTGATGAAGATAAGTGTTACTAATATATCCGTTTTTAGAATAAAGCTATTACATTGAATGTTGTTATATATATTTCCATGGGAAAGTTTGCATAGAGAAGTTAGATTCAATTAAAAACTGATACCAGCTGAAGAAATGTTTTAATTTATTGAAAAGACTACATGCTAGTTTGGTAATTTATCAGAAGTGTACATTTTAAATCATGAATGAAATCGAGACAACATGTTCAGATCTCGATAAAGATAAAATGTTTACAGATTATTAAGTCATGAAGCATTCTGTTAGCTTATGATGGCTCCTAATAAATGATTATTTCTGTAATTTGCGATGTGTAATCGTCATATCAGCTGTTCTACTGGTTATACTTGGGGAAGGAAACCACTGTAATTCCCATGATGTAAAGTGAAAACGAAAAGATTGGTGCAGTGAATATATACTGACTCTCCATAAATACGGTAATGTCAAATCAAATGCAATTATTTATTTACCGATTTCATACATACGTAATCACCAAATGGTAAACACTAAACAGATGGAAAGATGCACAGGGTTTCTGTCAAACACAAACGAGGTTTACACCGAGTAATATGACAGTCACAGTCGACAATAGTTCACACTTGTTATATTGAAAAAACTCAGTCTTAGTCAGTGCAAGGTATATTGATCTGAAATATTGTTACAGTGCAAAATATCAACTCAATATCGTAATGACCTAAATGCTACACTGAAAATAAAACTAATGTCATGAAATGCTACACCGAGTAAGAGGAAAAAACCTGATGTTGCTTTCTTATTCAGACTAATCACCTCCTCTTTTTTTAGTCGGATAAGTAAGAAACGGTTTTTAGTTGACAGTCCGCTACAAAAGTTGTTATTCTTTTTCGTATTCACTGAGAAATTATTTGCTAGCCCTGGCCCACATTCCAGTTTGGTTCTTATTATGTCAACCGGATCTTCTTCTAGAATATTTCCCGGCATGGTTTCCAGCTTTTGATTGGCCCCAGCTTTGTCGAGATCTCGTCTTTTTATATGATGGCTATGTCCCATTCATGTGAATTCACTCACTTCCACTTCATGCGAAACTACTCCTATTTTTCTTTCTCATGCCCAACATGCCCATTATGATCTGCAAGCGTGGAAATTTCTCACCCAAACTACTTAATTTGAATGGAAAATTATAGTTCCGATGGGGCGCTTTTTACTGAAAAGCGATTTAGTAATTTTCACCCCCCTTTATCTTGCTATCTGACCACGCAGCATAATCCAACTTTTTCGTCTAAAGATATTTTCTGCCAGGGGAAATCCGTTCACTTTTTTGAACTCTTTTAAGTGGCAACTTAGTAGGATTAGTTCTTCTACCGCTCCTTCCTCTTCTCACTTTTAATCAATCTTTTGAATGAATAAATAAATAGCTCCTTCTAAGAATTAGGCTGAGAGGACGTAACGTTTTTAAAAACTTTTCTTTCTGTAGAACGTTTCACACGTGACTAAGTTGAAATGTTCCTTCATTACAATGCATAGTGGTCCAAAACTGTTGGTCACTTCTAATTTTTTATTGCAGCACTAACAGAAACATTAGGGATTGAGAAGCTTTCTGACCATTTTGATAATGTATTGACGATTTTCAAGAGTTGTTCCCTTTAGAATGATCCAGCGATGTTCATGTGAAGTCGTGAATAAGAGTCTGTTGGCACTAGCCATGGTTGAGGCTTGTCTTTAATAGGTAGTTTCGATGACTGTGCGTAATTGTAGCACCGACTTATTATTTCTTCAATATCTTTATCAATATTTAGCTAATATATGCTGGCATGGGGTATATACTATATGAGACTCATGTCAAGATGCGAAGGGTGTATAAGCTCTAAGAACGATTGCCAATGACCATTAGAAATCAGAACTTGATCATCAAATAGAGCGCACTTGTCAATCACTGCCCACGAACCTCTCCTTCTATGAAAAAATTTCGTCTTCTGACTGGAGATGTGAGGGTCAACTACAATGAAGCTAATGTATTAGTTTACAAATTATCTGGTCATTTTTATCAGACTCTTCAGCTTTGTTTGACGGAGAGCTGACAAAGTGGATGGGATTTGTAAGAATACCAATACCTGCCAAAACAGCAAAGATTACTATTTTCTTATCTAAAAACTTCTAGTTACTTATCAATCTAGACAGGGCATCAAAATGATCAAATAAGTTTATAGATATTTAACTGACATGAAAATCATAACTCAATGAAGTCACTACTTAATTTTGAGGCACTTTAATACGCAACTTGGAATCCTTTTCTTAGGTCCGGAAATCGCTACAGATGGTTAATAGTCTGTGAACAATTCGAAATATCGACCGTGAAGTATTCTGTTGGACTTCACTTATAATTTACTGTTTCATCCCCGGCTTGGATTGTAATCTTTATTGTTAACATTTCATATGTAACTACTGTTAGCTCATATTCGCATCACGTCACAGTTATCTCTTTCAAACAACAACCTGTGGGATTTCTTGCTGACTTTGTCTCACGTCTTCCTTGTGTGGTAGATTTGTCGACTGATCAGCTAGTTTGAATGTAGTTGTAGACCTTAAATCCTCTTGATATTCTCAAACCACAGGACTATGGACTTGACTAGTCATCAACCAAAAGCCTATATCACCGTAGTATACCGAGGGCTTACCTTGATTTTCCGGTAACATGATTTTGTTCAATGATGCATAAATTTCAATGGTGGGTTAAAAAAGACAGATACATAGAAAGGTATTCTGAGATAGTTTCCGAAAAATATGATCAGTGAAAACTTTCAAGAGGACTCAGTGTCCGAGTAGATAACGCGATGGCGTTTGAAGTGAGGGTACTGGGTTCGAGTTCCATTAATGTTTTCCAGTTTCAATCAAACGACATTAATTTTAATATATAATTACAATCTGTTGAATAATAACAAAGAATATCCATTTCATGTCGACTCATTATAGATGAACTAGTGTACTGAATTCAATCTTAACTTTAGCATACTAATAGATCCCTTAGATAATTTAATAAAATTAAAGTAGCTTGATTGTATACGTTCAAGTAAAAGTCAAGTGAAATATATATATATATAGTTAACCTTGTTGAATATCGCTCTTTATTCACTAAATACTGATATCAATTTTACTAGGCAAAACAAAACATGAGGATTATGAGAAAATGTTTCAGGTGTTAATTTTCAACCGTAATCTCATGGTTACTCTTGGTCACTAAAAAACTATGTAGATAAATAAGCAAAGATGGATAGTGGCTAGCAGTGGAATCCAGGACGTGCTTTTCAAACAAACAATACTATGTAGATAAATGTTCTTTAAAAAAACAACAATAACAGTTCAGTATTTTGAATATTTTAATGTTTATTAGTATCCAAATATGATGGGAACCAAAAGTGAAACACATTCATAGGTTAAATGAATTCATAACCTGCATTAGTTTTGGTAAGATGAATGTTTTCAGTTTTTAAAAAATTGGATAAAAATAAAGTAGTGTTACATTTAATAAAATCTTTATTATTACCACATAATGCCAATGAGATAGTGAGTTTTTTTTCCTTTTAATACTTTATAGGTTCTAAGTTTGAGCATGTTAGCAAAAAGTTTAGACTGAAATCTATTTCTGAAAATTTATTGAGAGTTTTCCAATACTAAGTTGACTATCTCGAACATACAATACATTCTTAAGATAGAAATTCTTGGAAATTAGCTTGTATAGAGACGTAAGATAGAGAAATATTTAGGGAGAGTAGAAGTAGCCAGTTTTTAAATGGTTGTGAATTAAAAATGTCACTGTTTCTTAACTATGGCAGTATCTGGTACCTCAAGACGTACAGTGAAGTTAGTATTTATGATTGGTGCTAACTTTGCTAGTTTAAATGAACTTATGCAACTGAAAGAGCCTAATCAAACAAACTTACCACTTTTCAGCATTCAGTAGGTAGGTTTTTCAATTAGATAAATAAACATCCGAGTAATCTCGAGTTAGTTTATGTCTGTGTGCTATCGAATACATCATTCTTTCCAACTGTTATGTTCTTCTTTTTGTTACTATCTGTTTAGTCAAATTGCTTTTCTTGAGTATAACGTGAACAAACAGCTGATACCAATCACATCCGATTCTATTTCGTTCTTTATAAATTCGAAAGAGCCAATGGATAAGGCACCCTAACCTTTCTTAGAAAAAACTACTGTTGCCAAATATATTTTGACAAATTTAATGCATTCGATAGTGAATAATGTACAAGATAAATGTAACAAAAACCGTATTTCTCTAGTTTCCTGAAAACGTATATTTTACCAGTGAGCAACTGATAAATTAATCAGTATTTGTTAAGTATTTTCGGCCTATGAAAGGTCGAATGGTGACCATCAATCAACAGATATTTTACAATCCGAGTTATAACAAATTTTAAATAAATTGTAAATTGTCAAAAAAATAGGGAGAACCATCATAAAATATCACCACGACAACTGTGGTATTCCAAATCGCAAACTTTGACAGCTGGATGATTTTACGAGACGATGGGTATTCTAGTTGATTTTGCCGAAAGTGAACAGGTAATTTATTAGTAAAACTTTAAGTTAGCCAGGTGATAAGATATTATTGTTCTCTCAACCAACTAAAGGTGACCCAGTGTAGTCAAGAAGAACATAGAATAAGTTCTAAAAGTCGGAAAGCTGTGACGAGAGGAAAATAAATATTCTGTTAGTGAGGCCAACAGTATTATTAATAAATAAATCAAATTGATTCAGTCATCATTATTAATAACAATAATAATGTTAATATAAATTACGATTATAGTGATAAATTTATTCAATATTTTGTATTCATTACAATATGAAATTTTTAGAACTTAATATTTCAACAAGTTTCTTTTACTTCTTTTCTGTCACCAAAAATACACCTGCATACATATATAAGTGAAATAGGCGAAAAAATTCAGTAGACGTAATTGACGTATTTTCAAGAAAATTAGGACCTTTACGACTGTGAGTCATCAACTTGTTCAAGAATATAAGTTTTTGATTAAGCTAATTCCAATGACTCATAGCTATGTTTTGGTATGCATGACACTTCCAATCTTCTGTGGAAAGCCGAGAATTCATCCTGCTTACTAACCATGAGCCTATTGCATTTATAGTGACATTTATGTCTAGTGATTTTTTGTAACAACAAATTAAAGGTCACATATTTTTCCTAGTTGTCACACTTTTTATGTAATCACACTCATATTCGATATCTATTGTTTTTTTGTATCAATGGTAAAGAAACGAATACTTTTGTTTGGTTATATATAAAACTACTTCACTACCGCGCTTCTTAAAATAGAAACGTTGTATCCGCCGTCTATTCTTCTGCTTTAACGGCCACGGCCTTTGATTGAAGATTATAATAGTATTATAACATCTTTTTAGACCATTCCACACTACGTTGGTGTTTTGGCCCGGATCATTACTGAATAATACTACTGGATCTAATCTTCTCCATTTTGCTGTTGGTGCCATCACGTGCAGAGGAATCTTTGTTAACCAAGTGAACTTATTTGGGGTTGTTATCTCAGAAAGCAGCTTACAAGTAACATTCATTTCATAACACTGTTACCATTTTGTTGCTCAATATAACTTTTTATAATTTAACTGTAATTTGTTACCTTTTGCGTTAATCATAGACACACGCTTAGGTTCGTAGTGTTAATTCTTTTGGTATATTGTTGGTAACGTTGCGTATTGTTATATTTTAACTAAGCTCTTTTGCTGAGGTCCATCACACATTTTCCCTCAACTCGTCTTCAGACAAGTGTTCTATCTCAAAGTCTAGAAAACCTCAGTGTTTACTTCAGATACACAACACACTTTTAGGGCAAGCAGTACAGTGAAGGATGCCTTGTCTCGTATCATTTTCTTGGACAGTTTCCAAGGGACCAACATTCTTAAATTCGGCCAGCCCCTAAAAGAAGACACGTATATGAGTTGTCATCAAAAAGCTTGAAACTATGAATCAAGCAGACGGGAATGGGTGAGGTAGCTCTAATGTGTGACAGGTCTACAGGTAGAGATCGTTCAATCATGTCGAAACATTTTCAGTGTGATGTTTCAAATAGAGTGCTCAAAGTTTATCATCTAGGTATTTGAGCAACCACTAAGCCAGTAGGAAAATGACTTTACTGGCCTGGTACAAACACAAAAGAGAGAGAGTGAATGTGCTCATGTGTAAGTGTGATGTTTAAATAAATCAATGACTTCTTGGTATTGATGACTGTTGTAATTTTGAATTCCAAATACAGTACATTCGTTCGGGCTCATCTAATACTTCTTGATTAAATTGTGTTATTTCTGGGATTACTAGTTTATACTGCAATTCAAATACTTCTGATTATCATAGTAAGTTGCCAGAAACCTTGGGTGATTAGACAATTTATGCCCTCAAGGTTGATATTTACAGATCGGTTGACATTCAACCTATCTAAAGAATACTGCCAGAAACTGAAATTTACATTATTGACACTGAATCATGCTTCCTGTTTTCTACGGACGATTTCTGGTGATAATTGGTAATTAATTACAGTCCTTTTGTTATTAGTATCACTTAAGGGTTTATTTCTCATTTCTGGAACAAATCGAACCAACTTATCCAGTTCTTTTGAATAGAAAAGAGTTCATTGACTGATCGGAACATTTTCTTTATTGTGCTTATTAAGTTTTATAGTGTCTGAACTCATGGGAAAAAGGATTGTTTAGGTATGATGAGTTTTTCTCGTGTTTAAATTTTTGCTGTTATTTTCTTTCCTGTACATTCCTGTAAGTCTGTAACGTAATTATAGGGCAGTTATTGGCTATCGTACTCTTTCTGATTTATGTGAACTTGAGAGAGCATGATTGGTAAAAGAACAATCACATAGACACGTAAATTCCTGAAATACTGGATTTAACATATGGCCAGGATTGTCAGTTAAGTGTCAAAGAATCCGCGCAATATACTCTGATCCATTTCTCGACAAGTGTTATGTACCTGTTGTGATTAATTTCGTAAGCAGACTGAATTTTTCTCCACAATTTCACCGAAATCTAAATTCACAATTCTTAAGTTGGGGAAAGCGTTTGGTTGGAGAAGCTAATAACGACAAGCATTTTGATACAGATGAAGTTGCTAACAGTTTGATTTCTATGTGATGAAATCACTTATACACTGCTATTATTCGCCTTTGTTTTAATAGCTAAAAACAAAATTTAGTCAATACCTTAGTAACTATTAAAAATTACATTTTAGCTACTTTATTTGGTGAACTGGAGAAGAGAGTGAACATATTCCCTCTGCAATTCGGAAACTTCAAACACTCCACAATAAAAACGATTACATTGGAGGCGTTGAAAGGTAGAATTCTCCGTTCTAGAATGAGGTGCTCTTAGTTTAAAAAAGTAACATACGACCATTGAAAATATCTGCAACCATCTCCTGAAATAGCAGTTGCAGTTCCGTGCTTCGCCAATCGTTTACTTCGATAACCGTTATAATACCAATCTTAACGTGCATAAAATCAGAAGGCAAAGAGAAGCCGCAGCTACAATTTTATTGACAAATGACGCAGGCAAGAAAGTTATAAGCACATGAGCGAATATCAGCGAGCGAAACAAGAAATTACACGCATTGGAGATGCCCGGTAAGCTAACACATATTTGCCAAGCGTTAATCAATATTTATAGTCAGACAAGAATGAATGACAGACATGTGATAAATAGGATAAGAAGTGTGCACACACATACGCTCATATAAAAATGGTCAGAGTTAATAAGTGAACAATTAACAAGGTGAAAACATGACTCATGATGAATAGGTGAATTGTTTGGTTCAGAAGTTAGAATAAGGCTTATGGGTTAAGATAGCAACCGATACTACACATTGATGAATGTTGAGAAATCTAGAGTGAAAACCTTAAATACTAATGAATTGCGTACACACAACCGACAGTTCCAGAAACTAGGGGTATCTGCTTCAATTTCCCTTGGTAATGTTAATGCTAATGAGTACACACTTGTAATACGGAATCTGTGCTATGTGAAGAGAATAAAAGGCGCAGTGAATCTATGGAACAAACATGCAGTAGATCACTGAATTTCCATTGGTCCAGATACTAATGTTATCGTATCCTGTCATGTTCTGATACTTCATCTACGTTATCCTACTTTTTGTTTGTATAACTCAGTGTTATAGTTGTCATGGTTAGTTGATTTTGGCAAAGTTTTGAAACGGTTGATGAACAATTCAAAAAATGGCAGCGTGTGTAGATGCAAATAATACTCTGAGAAGTGACGATGAAAATAATATAACTAAACCCGATTCTATTATTGGGGATATAAACATTAAAACGTCTCTTTATCATGGGCCTGGATGGTACGTACCATCTGAACGAAAATGGGTGAACTACAGTGATTACTCCTCACTCCCGAGAACGACGAACAGAGATGCTATTGATTTCCGGTCCGAAAAAGACTTCATAGGCTTTCTAAAAAAGCGTGACATACCAAATTGTTAGTATGATTCGCTTTGTCAAACAATACTTATTTAACGTATGTTTACTAATTATTAGATAAGAAGATCACAGCTTACTTTCCTTCTCATCCTCCTTCTATCAAGTCTGAAAGTTTTTACCGGATACCACCCTTTCAAGCGGGAAGTGGGAGCAATAATGGAACTAAGCCATGTACTATTTGGAGAGGTGCGGATCATTATGAATACTACCAAGAGGTAATCACTTACTAATAGTTTATAGACCTTATGATAGTACACATATTTTATTATTTTGCTTAGTTTCATGGAACAATAATCCACATAGAAACTTATTTGCTACTTATGAGAGGTTTTGCAATTTGAATAAAGCCGTGAGTATTATTAGGTGACTGAAATAGATGTAGCTGTGAGACATTCAGCTCGTTTCTCTGTTCTTCGTTTCATTTCCCTTCTTTTAAATCACATTTTTGACTTCATAATTCTTCTGGACTAATATTACACTGAAGGTACGATTTTAGAATACTTTACCTCGCTAACATGTTGCTGTTGAAAGCTACTATTCAGTTAGCATAATAGAGAACTGCATATAAGGTGAAGCTACAATATAATAAATAGGGGTAATTGAGTTGATGTGCCATTTTATAATTATCAGAACATTCCAATTTAGGACAGACAAAGCTAGATCAACACAACGGCACGTATTATACTTGGAATTTTTAATAAGAATGAAATCAAATACAAGGGAATCATCATTAAATACAAATGCTTCACATATTCGACAATAATATCAACAATTTTTAAAATTTTTATAATCTTTTGATAAACGGGATTCACAGAAATTTACTCCTACAAAACATATGCTCTCTACTCGTCCATTATCTTCATTAGTAATAATGGGTTTCGTTAACACTTTGACAAAATACAACCACTGTGATTAAAATCCTTTGAATTTTAGAGTCACTAATGAACGAATCTCAAAACAATGTTGCGATTAAACATTTCAATTCCTAGATAGCTGAATGAAACACTTACTTGAGAGCTTCTGAAATCTTCCAGTGGTAAAGACGATTTGCGATGTTTAGTAAGAAAACTGAAGATTTGGAAGGTTTGTAGTGTCGGTTGATATGTTGAGCCCATATACTTTATTATAGCTTCAAAACAAGCCAATTTACCTACTCACCATGGGTCACGTTTTGACTTTGTTAATTATTCACTTATCAACCCTGAATGTTTTTTTATATGAGCGTAGGTGTGTGTACACTTCTTATCCTATTCATCACATGTCTGTAACTTATTCTTGTCTGACTATAAATATTGATCAACGCTTGAATAAAACAAGTTGGCTTATCCGCCATCTCCAATGCGTGTCATTTTCGCTTCACTCTTTTTTATTTGCTTCATCTCTCTGATTTCCTGTCCAGATCATTGAATGTACAAAATATATGTATTCGAAATTCATTTTCGTATTTGACTTATTTAATTCCGTTATTCATCAACGCGGATTAAGTCATGTATTACATACGAGAATAGAAAAAATGTATATTTTGACAACAATCATTCATACGGTCTCATTGGAGTCAGATCTTGGCTAATACAGGTTTAGACTAAAAATCATGTCTTCTCTATCCTATTTTGCAAGTTTTATAGGTTTCACTGCTCATTTGTTGTAATTCACTCAACGATGTGTGATTAGATATGAAGTTAACAACACAGTATTTAGTTTTTAATACTATGTCAAGCCCATATTTGTTATTCGAGACTCCGGACAGGCTAACTAATTTATTCCTTTCTAATCATACTTTGACCTTTTCAATCATTCGCTTATAAACTTGACTGTTTTTATATAAGCGTATATATGATTATCGTTTACTCTATTCATCAGATGTCATTGGCTTATTTTTGTCTGGCTATAAATAATGAGTCAATATTCATTAAAGTTAGTTATAATGCTTGCATTCCCAGGGCCATCTCTCAGCTTTGTTTGGCTTGGTTTCTGTCTGGGACGACAAGTGCATCAAATATACATATCGTTTAACGCAAACTGAGTCGATAGTTATATACGAAGGTGGGAAGCATGTGTATTTCGTTGACACGATCCAATAGGAGTCAGACTAACAGACAACCAAAATATAATAAGGCTATATCACGCTCGTCTATCATAGAACCCAAACATATTTGTTATACCAGCTCCATCTTTGTAAGCACTATCAAACGTTTTTGCCAGTTTGATACAATTGTCTTTTTTGGATGATTCTATACTGTTCTGTATGTGCAAAGAATGTGAATGCCTCGCACATAGTAGTGTTTAGAAGCTGTAAAATTTGAAGTGTTTGGGAACATTCCAAAGGTACGTCAAAATATTTTAGCATTTATGAAGTCTGACAAAAAGCTATAATATTATCATTATACCCTAGGAATATGTACTTAGACAATTTAAAGTTTTAGGGGTTTTCGACACCCAACTTTACGTAAGTATGGTGTTATTATTTTGATTCTTTTTAGGTATTTTATCATTATAATCGTTGCTATTTTGTTAAAATGTCATTTGGATATTAACTAAGACACTAACTTGGCTCACAATAATCATTAATGATTCGCGTTATTGTAAAACCCCTCAATTATATATATATATATATATATATATATATATATATATATATATATATATATATATATAAGATTCATTTGAAAGGAGAGATTTCTTTGCTCAACTTTTCTTAACTTATCAACAGTTATGAATACGACAAAAAGGTTGTTTTAAATTTAGCTTTTGATCGGTAGTCTAATCAGTGGCAATTAACGACAGTTAATAGGTTCTCAATAATCATGTTAAACCTTCTTTGAACAACGAATATGTTCCTTGTGGTCTGTATCAATTTTTAAACTCGATTAAGATACATACCAATAGGTGTGTTTCAAATATCTTAAGCATTTTGACTATGTTGTTATGTAGGGAATAAAGACTTGGTGGAGACAACCGATTTATTGTTTAATGCACAATCACACGATAGTTTAGTAAAATGAGAAAAACACACATTAAATACGTCATTTGCATATCTTCGAATTGTGTTTTACAGACTTCATTGTACCTTCATTTCTTTTGTTATTTTAACCGTTTTCAGTTTCATTTTCTCTTCTCTTCATTTCAACTGTATCAACCTTCTGCTTGCAGATAAATCACTTTTGATCGGTGTCACATATTACTTATACCTGCAAGCATAAGTAGTACATATAACAGTTACAGTCAAATTGTTTACTTTAAATAAACTGTATGAAATATATTTATGGATATTTTTGAAATACCATTTAATTACAGATACTTGATGAAATGAAGGCAGCAGATCGTAGAAACTAATCATCCTCAGATATTATTGGTTCCTCTTATATCAAGCGTAGAATGTAATGAATAATATGCTAATCATTTGAATTATCTTGTTCGAAAGAATTATGCTATAGTTGTTACTTCAAAACAATTCACAGAATAAGAAGAATTATCTGAATTTATTGCTATTCAGTTAATTGTAAAACCTCCAGTCTACGCATAAATCAGTGACAAAGTAAATGCAACTTGACGTATAACACTAAGTGGGGTTTTATTTACATAGAAAATGTATTTTATAGGTCCATTATATATGCTTTCTAACTTATAATTCTTGTGATTTATGTAAAAAAATGCTTAAAGTCGCTTTATTTTCATTAAAGATACATGAGGATGTTCTTTTAAAATATAAAACTTTATCTTTCAAATGTGTTTTTTAATATGCAGTGTATTACTCCTTAGCCTATTATTTATTTATTTATTTAAACACATAAATATTGGTACAAATGACACCAGATACATATGTGCCGCACAAATCTTATTTGATTTGTGTGAGGGTTGTGATACTGCTCAGCTGCCAAAGCTGAAGCAGGTGGTTTTCTTAGGGGGCCACACCCCGAGCCTTTTACCTAAAGGTCTGATCCACAAGGCAGTGGAGCATCGTGAGGAGATACAGTCCCATGGTAGCCGGTGACCAACGATTGGTTCATAAGCCATTTGTTCACTCAGGATACTGGAGCCGGCCCATGTGCACCATTGGTTTGGAATCAGGGTTTTCCAACTCCTTTAGGTGGGCTCACAGTGTTCTGCAACCCGGTTAAAGCGTCGTAAGTTCGCTTTTCGTTCTCTCAAGTTCGTAAACAACACCCGTGGTGCGAGAAGGCAATGAGTAGGACTTCCCTGACAGAGGCTGTATATGCGTAGCCATGTGAGAGTACTTCAAGAGGGGGAGTAAACCCTCCTCACTCTCGGCCTTACCAGGGCATTCGGGACCCTTAGCCTATTAAATTGTTTATAAAACTAAGTTTCATTTAAATTAGTTTATCGTAAGTTTGTTCAAACAAGATTTCCCAATCCTAGTCCGTGTAAACATCTGACGTCGGCTAAAGGAATAGCAAATTAGTTGTAGTATCTGGTCACAGAAAGCTGTTTTTAGATCATATCGTGAATTAGTATTACTCCTTGAGTATTGAGAAAAATTATGTATCAAGTGGATTCTTTACGAAATAATTCTTCTCAATAACTGAACCTCCAAAATGATATATCGCGAAGAACAAACTCGTGCAATTTTAGTCCTTCAGTACATACATGACATTTTATTTTATTGATCGAATTTATCTATAATCCTTGTGTAGGGTTAGTCTGTTTGGCTTAAAACTGTATTAGTGGAGAACTTTCAATGAAAGAGCTGCCGATGAATCTATACGGGGTTATGATTCAAAAAGGTAAAACGTAGTACAGAATATTAGATCTGTTTTTCGAAAATAAATTATGGAATTTAGTCAAGGAATAGGGAGAAAATAGTCACTCGAAAAAGCACAATAACAAACAAACTATACAGTAATTGAATATGCCAAAAACGGATCAACTGTGAACGGGAAACTTTCTTTGCGAAATTCTTCAGGTAGCACTTTATATATATGAATAGAAAGTGCATTTTGATCATGGTGACTGGTAGCAGTGTTAGTCTAGCTTCGTCTACTGGAAGTGTATCTTTAGACAAAATATCGCTCATTGCCTATTAGTCAATGACTTAAACAAGGGTTTATATAAATTACTTTGATTTTCATGTAATCGACTGACCAAGTAAATATCCAAGTATTCAGCTTTAAGCTATAGCTTATCTATCAATGCTGGTAAGGCAACACTGGTGTTGAAAACCGAACAAGGGTAGAGTGCAAATATGCAACCGGAAGGTTTAAAATGGAGTATGTATAAATACCCGAAATCAAAGAAATTTGTAACAATTATTTTATTTGTTATATTCTTGAACATGGCTGTGTTGATTACGAAGTACAGTATTGCTAAACTTCTCGGGTTACTTTCAAATTGAAAAACTTACCTAAATATTTATTTTCATTTACCAGTTTGCAGCAACCTTTTTACTCTAAACTGATTAAGATATACTTACTTACGCCTGCTACCCGTCGTGGAGGAGCACAGGCTGCCCACTAGCATTGTCTATCAAACTCTTATAAAATGTTCCTAAAGAACGGAAAATATCTAAATACAACTTTAATGATGCTATGAGTGACAGGAAATTGATCAATAGAATATTCTTCGTAGCGACTTTAAGAAGTGTTTTCCAGCCAATCAATGTTGACCACTTATCTTAAAGATAAGTAATTTCATTTGAAAAGTTCTATATGCGTTTATCAATTTACATATTCATGCAGAGCCAGGTATATAGGTCGTGAGATGGGTATTTTATCCTGTAGAGTTCGAAAACATTACCCGGTTCGGCTGAAAAGAGGTGGTAATGGTTCAATAAGAAGTTCAGTAGTCAGACATCCTGTGAACTCAGGTCATCCAATCAAAGCTGATACTGCGTTCAAAATCATCCACAACGTAAGTAGAAAGCGGTCAAAAGCAGCTATATATCATCTTTTTAGCATTGACAAAGCCCTAGCCATACATCTGGAAAAAATGTGTCTAAGAGAAACTGGAACAACCTCTTATTCTACTACTGTGTACAAGGAATGAACTTCATAACTTTTTCTTCTTTCACACTTATTTGTTTCCCTTCTATCTTCTTTAAAGACCTTTTACCCTTCAACTGATTTGTTTCTGTTTGTATGATCCTCCTGATTAGAATTCATTTCAATTTCAAAATTTTATCTTATCACTCTGAGCCTTCACTCTACAATTATAACTTTTAAATATCTTAATGATGAATATTCAAACTCTCAACAACAAAAGTATATCTTTTTTTGATAAAAATAACGTTTTTATGGCTTTGTTTATTCTACCTCACTGTTAACATGCCGAAAAGGGTACTCTTTGTTGGACCAATCTTTCTCATAAATTGGTTTAGATTCAAATTTTTAACTAAATTTCCGCGAATCGGATAATTTTTCCATCAGAAAACCAAGTTTACTTTTTAGTTAATAATATATGGAAATTTTTATGTATAGTTAAAATTATGAGTCAATTGAAGCTAGACCACCATGGAAAACCTGGAAGCACTGGATGGCCGTTTCGTCCTATTGTGGGACTCCTCGGCAGTGCGCATCCTCGATCCCGCCTCGCAAGATTCGAACCCAGGACATACCAGTCTCGCGCCAGAGCACTTGACCGACAGACCGCTGAACCGGCATCCAACGGTGTTAATGTCTAACTTCAACCAATCCACGAAGTTGATTTTCTACGTTGTTCTAGCTTTAATTGACTCATGATTTCAACTATACATAAAAATTACCTAAAAATCTCCACAGAAAACCCCCTAATATATGGAAATGTTAAGTTGTCAATGTAAATGCGAACTTTAAGACGAATCAAAAATGATAAATTCCCGTTAAAGGAAAAAAACAAACAAACGATAAAATAAAAAAATCCACTTCAGTTACCAGTTGATTTACAATGAGACAGTGAAATTGAATTGAATTAACAGTATAAAATTTTGTACAATAATTTAAGAAAAGTATGAAGTACATTGCTTTAGTAATAAATCTATTAAATGCATTAGAATAGCATAATTAATATAACCATTTCTGTTTAATTCAACAGCCAAATCAGGTGAAAACTCTATAAAAACAAAACAAAAAAACAACATTTTAATTGAGTAGTATATTATAAAGGTATTTACCAAATATAATGAAATATTACAGTCAAATGATTAAAAAGCTGGGTATTTTCTTCGCTGACCTACCAATTACTCAATTGCGATCCTTTATTTTTAATTCTAAACTGAATGAGTTAGGTTTGATTCAGTGTCAAAATGTAGATGGACAGTGTTAAACAATCCCAGCTAAACAAATATTTGGTTGTCATTCTCTAAATATTATTGATGAAAGTGAAAACTGTTGTACTCTAATTTCTCACATCTTTCTGACTGAAGATTGGATCGGTGAAGTTTAGATTAAATGTCTGGTATATGCGAATACCAGTTAATTATCAGTGTATCAAGCATTGATTCATCATAGAAAAACACCATTACGATGATACTAATAAAAAGAATCAATTTACCCTGATGATAGTTTATGTTTGGTAGACTCAGAAAATCCCTCGAAAAAAGTCAAAAAGGGCTCTGAAAACGCTGAAGAACATCTTATCCAATCAGCATCCAATGGAATTTTTGCCAGAAAAATCTAAAAAGTGAAAAGACACGTCGCGTTTCTGATTGGATGATTACCTATGCCTCCACTATGTTTAGTAGCGTTCTAGAAATTTCCGGAAGCTCAAGGCCATCTAAAATACTATAAACACCCTAGATTTTCTGTACATAAACGAATCTTGGAGTAAAGCGCTTCTTCCATATTTCGCACCTTTTCTCTCGTGTTTAAATCGCTTAGGAACCGAATCTAGCGTTCAATTATAGGACATCAGTTTACATAGATAAAAAATTGTATAACATACGACAATATTAAGTTGCTTCATATAGGCACATATTGAATTAACATAGAAAAAATATGACGTTGTGATCTATGCCATATAAGCTGCTAATAAAACGATTGTCGACGTGATTGATTTGATACAGAAAATTTACAGATGGTTATATAATTCCAAAACTGGTGTCACTGGATACTTGATCTAATTAAACTGACCATTACTTTGCCTTAATTCTTCCAGGGCCATCAAATTGTCAACTAGTTTTAATAATAGTAATTTATTAACTTTTGCGCCAGAGTACTCGAAATAATTCAGGAATTGTTATCTATAGGTCATTCATTAACGATCTACAGCAACAAGGTATATATTTAACATTGAAGTTAATAAGCAAAATAAAGCTTAGGATAAGTTGTAATAAAAATTAAAGATGGGAAATTCATGATTCCGTTAAAAATCAATAGCTACCCCATCTTAATTGGCCATATTTCGACAAACCATATAAATTGCAGTATAAAGAGAGTTAACACGAAATCGTTAAGACATAAATATGTTGTTTAATGATGAAAAAGCTTGCTTAAAGATTATTAGTCAGATTACTGATTCTCAGAGCAAAATCAGTGGGGCTTTAAAGACTAGTTTAAAAACAATTTGAGTAATTGTCGAGGTGAACTAACTCGTTAAATTTCTCCGTTTTATGGTATTCTATAAATCTAAACAAAAGTCAGAGTGTTTTTTTATTAAAAGCAAAATAAGACTGATCGTGTTCTTAATCGATGTATTGAATAAATGAATGTCGGATGAATCTTAAAAATCGTTGTGAGTTGACAAACCAGTCAACTCTTCTCATACTTATTGTTAGCAGTGGAATCCAGGACTGGCGTTTCGTCCTATTTCGGACTCGTCAGCTGGATGTACCTGCATCTCAGGACGAAACGCGCGTCCTGGATTCCAGTGCTAGCCATTATCCATCTTTGCTTACAATGCCTGTGAATTACGGCTATATCGTGTCAATACACACAGTATGCACATATGCCAATTAGGGACTGACCAGTTGCAGTCCTAAACATCAATGGGAAGATTCAAACAAACAGTATTAAGTAAATCTAAACATAAACTATAATTGCATAATATGTAATTATAAAATAGATACCTTTAAGTATATTGAGTAATGTAGAATTACTTTCTTTATTATTAATTTCTAAAAATTTATTATTTACACAATCTGAACAATAAGATATAAGTTTGAATAATTCTTCTTTGATTAGAATTGATTTGATACTGGCAGTAAATAATCGACGTTGATAGCTGTAATCAATTTGATACAAATTTAAAAAAATTAAAATAAATTATTACAAAATGAAATTTTAATCGTTTAAAGAATCCCATCATATTAAGAGAAGACTAATATATTGAACGGAGAATATTCTTTACGATAAATTCTCTTCAGGTTCTACAATTATATATCCAAATTAATAATCCGAAAAAATGGTCAAGTTAAAGGCAAAGTACATCGTTTAAAGTATGTAAATTTAGGAATGTCAAATCAAATAGAATAAAATTGTTAATGTTGACATGACCCGTATAGAATGTTAACTTGAATCTGTATATACGTAAAGTGAAAATTTAAGATCTGTGATCAGAATATAAATATGGGTCAGATAGGGTGAGAGAGATATATGATACTGCAATTACAATTCGATCAAGTGGAAGGCTAAATTGTGTGAAGACGTAATAAGGATGGATCAATGCGAAGTGAATGAATCATGTATAGTCGAATTAAGTCATCCACTAGCTAAGATTACTATTGATTAATTAGCCTTGTGGATATATAATTGTATAATCTGAAGACAATTTATCGAAAAGTATAATCTTCGTTCAAATATTAGTCTACTAAAATAAAATTTATAAAATATTTGTCTTTCTTTTTTTCTTCTTATGTAACATAATTCTACTCATAGTATTTAGTATTGAGTAAAGTATGTAAAGGTATTTTGATTATCTATAATAGGGGGCAACAACTTTGAGTTTCATTTTCAAGAAAAATAAAATGAAAAGGAATAACGTGTGAGAATTTAAGAAACGTCAGTTACCATTATCATTGTTATTATTGATTCAACATACTGGATAATTTGAACTAAGATGATGTCCTATTTGTTAGTTTTTGAATGGATTAATAATTTGTTCAATTATATAAAACAAAAAAAGAAATGTGTTATTTCATTTGCTTAACTTAATTATTAAGTTTCTATTAAAAAAAATTTAAAATTTACTATTCTATATTTCATTTATAACTCCGCCCTTAGCTCTCATAGAGTTACTGCCGATCCCAAGCCCGGGTAAAGGAGGAGGTTTGGGCATGGGGTTAGCGATTCCATCTCGTAGAAAAATAACTCACTGAAAAAACGCTAACCAGAACTGGTGGGCGGCCTATGCTCCTCCATGAGGGGTAACAGACGTAAGTAAATAATATTTTATTAAAAAAAATATTTCGAAAATTTTCCTAATCGGACTTTTATTCATATGGCCAATGATAAAGAAAATACAACGTATTTCTAAATCATTATTTATAATTTTACCAATATTTAAACAATAACAGTTAGTCTGAATAAGATAGATGGTTTCATGAAGTGTACCTTTGTATATTGCAATTTTTTTTGTTAAGGTTTCATTCCATGTAAGGTTAACACTATTGAAAATAATCTCAGATTAAAATAAAACCTTTGTATGATAGTCTTTAACTCTGAATAATCCTTAAATTATAGACATTTCATAATTAAATCTACATAGATATCCCTTTTGACTAAAAGAGAAGCCACTCATCTTCATAATAATTTATTCTTACCCAAGCATATATACAACAACCTTACTTATTTCAAACTGTAGTTTAACTGATAAAACAAGGAATGAATTATCAAATAGTGTACTTTGATGAATACAGCAATCTCTAAACGAAATTATGAAATATGTTGGCTAAATTGAATATATGCTAAAACTATCATACAATTCTACTAAATTTCATTTTACATTTTTTTTTAGTTTAAACAACATCGAGTTACTTGGTGGAAATTCTAAACGTATGATAATTTAAGTGATGAGAATCACTTCCAAACTGTGTAACATTTTTTCAAAGCCAAGTTTTATTTACCCATACTTAAGTTGGAGTTGGTTTTTATTTGTTTATTTATTTAAACAAATAAACATTGATACAAGAAGGCATTAAATATATGTACCAGATAAATCATTCGATTTGTGTGATGGATGGAATACGGTCGGTTGCCTAAACCTAAACGGGTGATTTTTCTTAGGGGGCCACACCCGGAGCCTTGAACCTAAAGGTCTAGTCCACAAGGAAGTGGAGAAACGTTAGGAGATACAGTCCAATAGTGGCCGGTGACCAACAATTGGTTCATATACTATTTGTATCCTTAGGATCCTGAATTTCATGTGCACCGCTGGTTTGAGATCAGTTTTCCAACTCCCATAGGTGGATCCTCTGCATCCACCAACCCGTTTCAAGCGCCGGACATTCACTTTTCGTCCTCTCAGTTTTGTAAACAACAACCTCGCCGCGAGAAGGCAGTGAGTAGGACTTTCTTGGCAGTGACTGTATACGCGTGGTCAAGTGAGAGCATTTTGAAGGGGAGAGCGGACTGTCCCCACCTCTGGCTGTACTAGAGCATTTGGGGGAAAACTAAGAGCCGGACGCCTGTTGGAAACAGTCAAATCTTCAATATCGTGCTCTCCTAAATGAACTATTCCGGCTTCTTTGAAGTTGTATTGTAGGAAGTTATAACAGGCAAAACAAAACAATGATATTAATGAAGGTCCACGCTATATCCAAAATAATTGATCATAAATATGGACTTTTAGGTATTGACCCAGTGGGTTAATGAGATCTTGTTAGAAGTGCAATATGAAAAACCACAGCTAAATATTAAATGCGGTGATGAGTGCATACTCTTATAGAATCTCAAAGTAGAATGGAATAGCTGTTACTAACTGTTCTTAGATGTATAGTGGTGGAGATAATTTTCAAATTGTATAAAATAGCTTCCGCCTTTTAAGGTGCGCAAAACTGGTTAGAAAAGACATAGGGCAATAAAATATTAGAGACGGCCAAACTAAAACAAGATTATTATTAACATTTATACTGATACGTCTTGATAGGTACAGATTTCCTCGTTGAGATCAGTATTATGATCTTATTCTGTAGTTGGAGATAATAAGTTATAAAATCGATCGAAATTTCGAAGACATATTCATCCCCTATTTTCTTATAGAATTTGTTCACCACTTCACACATTTTATTCTTTAGTTTCATTGATTCGTCTCGAAACCATATCTCGCACGTCAATAATATTACTATGACAGATATATATGTATATTTTCTTCTACGATCAGTTTTAGAAAATTTATCTTTTGTTGTTCAGAAAAGAGCTATGACAAATTAAACCAATACATATAAATGACAAATACTGAGAAATTTTCAGAATTTCCACTTAAAAACATTTCATAATTAAGCAACAATAAAGAAAAAGAAGCAAATATAAAATTAAAACAGTTACTTTTTCACTATATACTGAATAGCTTCATATTCTAAGCTGATATCATTGTTGAATGAGGATTCTTGTGAAAGGTATCCTAACTTATGCATTACTGTAATCATACCAAGTACTGGATCATTGATTTCACGTAAATTACTTTGATTAATTGTAATTGTAGACAAAATTTGTGTAGTAGTTGATATTTCTAAAAAAAGAGCGAATTTTTTAATAGGGAAGAATAATTAGTAATACGACGGACGATGTTGGGAAGTAGCTAACTAATATGTTTGTCATAGTTGAAAGCGTGAGTCAATTGAAGCTAGACCACCATCGAAAACTTGGAAGCACTAGAAGGCCGTTTCGTCCTATTGTGGGACTCCTCAGCAGAGCGCGTCCACGACCTCACCTCACGAGATTCGAACCCAGGACCGACCAGTCTCGCGCCAGAGCACTTAACCGATAGACCAATTAGCCGGCATCTGATGGTGTTTATGTCTAACTCTAACTAATATTTTTTTTGAATTATTTCTTACAAACCTAAAATTAGACTTTCAAGTAATAATTAGTAGTGAAATTTGTAGTCAATTATTGCACTTCATTTCATTAACTGATCATTTAATTAAATCAATAAAATTTTCATATGGATGACAATAAGTTAACTTAATACCAACATAGGATTGGTTCACGAGCTACGTTATTTATAGTTTACAATTATTTACGTTTTTAATGATTTCTTTTGATCAGGTTTATTTTAGTTATTAAATATTTTGCATAAAATTGTATAATTTTGATGAATAAAATAACTTTTATTGTTGGTCACTTGTCTTTAAAGAGTCTTCTTCCAAATAATGTCATCATTGAGAGTAATCGTCTAGCAGTCCTACAATATTTATAACTCCGAAAATTAATGAGAAGTGTATTACCGTATACTTATTTGAGTGACTACAACAGAATCTCAGAGTTCACACATTAAAACAATGTAACAGGAATCTATATTATATTTTACTTCCAATAATAAAATAATATTGTGGAATAATTTCACATCATATTTTGGACAGTGATTTTAAGCATCATCATATTGTATAATTAAATGCTAAAATTCCACAAGGACAAGCCAAACACTTTAAGGTAATCCAAACATTCGTAACACAAGCACCATAAGCAGTGATGGATGATGGCTAGCATTGGAATCCAGAACGCGCGTTTCATCCTATTTGGGACTCATCAACCTGATTTGTCTGCGTCCAAGAGTTGATGTTCATTCTGTTCGCTTCAAACGCCATCGCATTATCTACCTAGTTACTGAGTCCAGATAACCATTAGCCCGTGTAATTGAATGAAGTTTAAATTATTTTTGTATTGGTTGTTCGAATATTCCCATTGACGTAATAATGCCTGTAACTTAAGGTAATATCGAGACAATTTGCATAAGATGCACATATACCAATAAGAGACTGATCAAGTGCAGTTCTAAACGTTAGTAAGAAAATTCCAACAACCAATAAAAAGTCAATTCTCGAAACAAATTTAAAACTTTTACCCAACCTAATAGCTTATACAATTCAATATAGTTACTAGTAGAAATACCGTAGCAAGTTAATAGTTTAATTGTAATTTATAACATAACAATCTATATTTCTCCGTTTTGCACCATACAATAATTAACATCATTATCAGTTAATAAATAATAGCATATTGTAAAAATAAGGAAATCAATGAAATGACTGGCTAAAAAGAATTCAATGTATTTTTGCTGATAAATTACCTACTTAATACATGATTCTGCAGTATGTTTATGAATTAAAGCGGTTGAGTAAAAATACGGTTAGAAAACGTTTCGTATTACTACTTATAAATATTTTTGTGTCTAACCATTTGTAATTACCATCAACCCATTTATTCTTACAAGCTAAATAGAAAGTAAAGTTGATTTTTTCAAGGTATAAGTAAAAACGCTATTCCTAACTATTATATAAGGTATACGTTGCACAATTCAAGTAAAGACAACGTTCAGTCTAGTGACGGTTCCCAAAAATGCAATTGAAGTTAATAACTGGTCATAATTCCATTTTAATGTAAACGGCTGGTATCTTAGTTGTTTATCTGGACTGACTTGGTACTGTAACTCTAGCGGATTACTTTAGCGGATCGTATGTATTTAAATTATATATATATATATATATATCTTTATGACGCGTAAATTGAAGTGAGAATAATAAATGTCAGTAAGCAACATAATTGTGAAGTGTTATCAGTATCATTGCAATTTGTCATTTGTGCGAAATTTACTTCTGTCATTGTTAACTTATAATGAAGTTTAGGCAAACGTTTAATTTATTCACTTAATGAACAACCTGTAATGCTCAAGTTTATATGAATTTCAGTTATTCAATTGTGTCAAAGCTACTACAGTTAAGTTTGAATAGAAGATGTAATGAATATACAGGTCACAAAGAATACAAATTTATAAAATATAATTATAAAGAAAAACTTACTTTCTACATTGGAATCAAGCATTTTAACCTGTGATGAATAATAAAATTGATGCATAAAATATATTATTTAGTTATCTTAAAAATGTATTATTTATGATATACTACATAAAACAAAAGAAGTATATGTTAAGCAAAACCTTTTCAAATCATTTGGGTTACTTAACATACACGAATACTTATAACATAACCTTCATAACTGATATTTTTTATGGTTGGTGGTAGTGTGGTGTGGTCTACTTATATCCACATAAGTAGTACATGATTATGGTCAGACATAGAATGTATTTCAGCGGAAGATCATCAAGGAAAGAACGGAAACGAAACGCAATTGATATGAACAATAATAATCGGAGACTATGAACTGGTATTTGCATAAGGAATGGTCAAGATTGAGACAATTAATAGTTTACAAATTAACTGTTTACTGTATGGTTGTCAAATTTTAGTGAGATAGTCTATCATTTTCGTGTCGGATACATTCGATTGTTTCCACTCGTGTTCTATCCACTACAATATGGCTGAAAAGCATCCCCGTTTACAAATATTCATCCATGTTCAGCAGTGTAATTCACAATGAATACGAAATTGAAAACAAACTATATTGATTTTAAGAAAGTGTTTTCCGAAAAATCACTTCGTTTAAATAAATATTATCAATTATTACAAGTATTAGTTATCATAAATTCACTTGGTATTGTTGACTTGAATCTTATCATTGATGTTTAAGACTGCAATTGATCAGTCTCTTGTTGGAATATGTGCATTCTGTGTGTAATGTCTCGATATAGCCTTAAGTCGCAAGCATTATAAACAAAGATGGATGGTGGCTAGCGGTGGAATTCGGGATGCGTGTTTCGTCCTGACTGATCAATTCCAGTCCTACGCATTAATGGGAAAATTCAAGTAAACAATACCAAGTGAATTTAAACTTCATCCCATTGCACAAGCAATTACCTATTAGGACCCAGGAGTGGACAGTGCGATGGCGTTTGAAGCAAACGGTACTGTGTTCGAGTCCCAGAGTGAACATCAACTCTGAGATGCAGGTGCATCTAGCTGACGAGTCCCGAATATGACGAAACGCGAGTCCTGAATTTCACTGCTAGCTACTATCCATTTGTGTTTATAATAATTATTATACAACGTGTATCCTATTCTTCAAATATATTCATCAGTAAACGCATATTCAGTCAGAAATAAATAAGTTACATGAATGATAGTGCACTGATACCATATCATAAAATAACAAAATGTGATATTTAATAATAACAATAACATATTTGTAAAGTCACAATATGTTTAAACTTATCCTTACTTAGTTCAATTATTTATTCTTGCTCTCTGAATAAGTGGAGTAAACTAGGTCACGAAATATTAGAAAAAATCGATTTCGTACTTATTGGGGCTTAACAATATATGATTTCTCGTACAAACAATCCATCCAATGCTCAATTTATTTGAAATTACCTAGTCAGACCCTACTGATGGCACTTAAAAATATGTACATATTCTAAAATCAAATTGAAAAGTTCTTTTTTTCAGGGGACTTTTAGAAACCCACCTCTTCAAATTCAAAGTTAAAAGACATCAAGAATAAGCTCTGCCACAAAGACTCTGTGCCTCAGTTTTTAATCCTGGTTACGCATTGGGTATACATTGTTAGAAAGTTCAATAACAGAAGGAAACACCTATTCATTGTTCTGCGACTAATAAATAGTTATCTACTTACAGTTATTCCATGACACTGGTTCAGTTTGTTAAAACAAAAAGTGATAATTTTATTTGCATACTTATAACAACTTATACAAAACGATAATAATAAAGATGGATACTGAACTGTTGTGACAAACGATCATAAAATTAATAATTTTTTTAACCTGATGAGTCAATTTAATGTATAATATGCAATGAAACTATATAACTACTTTGTATTTTTGTACTGAAGTCAGTTTGAAAAGATAATATTATATTATTGTTTACAAGCGACTAAATCTTTAATTTTATTGAATGAATTGCAATTTATATGATTAAACTCCATGTCTTACTTACGCCTGTTACCCCTCGTGGAGGAGAACAGGCCGCTAAATAGTATTCCACATCGGACCTGATATCTACTTAATACTAGTAAGTGATAGCTTGTAAAAACTTCTCAAGGATATTTTTATAGCTCATTAGATGAAATGTGTAATTTAAAATATTAATTGGTAAGTAACAGGTTGAGACATTAACAAAAAACAACCACAAATCATGACAATAATATGTAAAAAATAAAATTTATTAACAGTACGAAAATGCTTTAGATGTACAAAGAGATTTGTGTTGATAGTTATGAAATTTTTCAACGATGAAAATATTATTTTCACGTATGATGACGTACAATAACACTGTGCTGGTGGGCAACCTATGCTCCTCCGCAAGGGATAACAGGGTTAAGTAAGTGAACAGATTTATCTGTCTTGGAGTACTTATATATATATATATATATATATATATATATATATATATATATATATATATATATATATATATATATATATATGGAGAAATGATCAAATGTTTCATCCTCCATTCTCTCATTTAAACAGCTATTTAATTACATAATATATGATTGGAAGACTACTTGAACTTCTTACATTATTAGTATATGTACTATGTTTCTCATAAACTTGTTCATCCGTAGAGTGTTTAAAAGGACAACACAAATCACATACAATTGTATTTTGAAACTCATTTAATTTTCCTTTAATTTTTGCACATTTTGATTGTGTAGCATCTAATTGAGACAGAATATCACTTGTCAAATAAGTAGCTACACCTAAAATAAATAAAGAAGTAAACACATAAATTGTATTTATACTCAAAAATGTATGCTTTTTTTTAATTAAAATCACGATTCTTTCTACATTTGCATGAAAAGTAAAGTTGTTAGTCTGTTCGAAATAAGGATTTAGGTTTAAACACAACAAGCTACTCCAACAGGATGATTTTCAATACATTTAAAACAACCCCAACCGTTTTTGCGAACCGAATGAACAAAATTATTTGCTATCAGGACTGAAGGTAATGCAATGACTGTTTGATTTGACTGTTGTTCAACTACTATGGTGGTTGTGGTAGCACATTGCTGAGCATTTTAATGCTAATTGAGTCCGTGATATTAATTACCTATATTTGTTATAATTTAAGATATTAGGAAAATAACCCTGATTTCATTAAACAAGCGTCATACCTATTCAGTACGTGAAATTATGTTACTGGATGTACTACAAATCGCTTACAAACCAAGTCGAATCATAAAGTCGACAAGATGTTATCAACCTCAAGATTAAAAAGACATACCACTTAATATTCCCCTTATTTATCAAAAAATGTTGAAACAAAACAACTGTAATAATTTCTACATTGCATCCTAAGCATCAATTTTCAGCAACGATGGAAGCTCATTATTATCAATATTAATATCATTACTATTATCATTATCAGTATTGAATTGTGTAAATCGTTGAGTTTTATTGAAATTATGAACCGAATAATGTGGATTGATTGAAGTTTGAAATTAACATCAATGGACACTGGCTCAGTGGCCTAGAGGTTAAGAGTTCACGCGCGAGACCAAATGTCTGAATTCGATCTCCGCGTGCGGAGAAGAGGATAAAACAACCGTTAAGTGCTTCCAGGTTTTCAATGGTGGTCTAACATTGGTCGTTTAATGATTTCAATCATTATTAATATAACGGCAGCAATGTTCAACCCTAGTTAGTGATTAGTATGACAATGTCAATTTTAAATTCTAATTAAAACTCATAACATAAAATCTACTAAGTGCTCCAAGTTGATTTTGTAAACAATGATACTAAAGGATGATATACGCTGCCTAGAATGTCGAATAATGATCAAAACGTTGCTTCATGTATTTATGATAAATAACTAGCAAGTTATATTGATAATCTTGATACGTGAATACTGAGGATTGATGCTTATTATAAGTATTAATCAAACACTAACCAGATAAATTTAAAAAAAGAACCAAATATCAATTTAGTTCGAATTTGTCGAAGTGGAATATATATATATATATTCATAACATTTAGAGCTGTTAGTAATTTGCTTCAATAACCTTATTGAACCAGAGATGCCTAAAATAATCTCTTAGTTAATTTACATACTTCAGTGACTTGATTAGTTATACTTGTAGAAAATTACCAATTTTGATTTAACGTTGAACGCAAACATATAAATAGTCTTTGATTTGTTTACCTCAACTAACCTCAAAGTAAATTATAACGTTAAGGTAGAAGATAAAATATTTATATTTATTCTTCAGACCTATTCAGTTACATTTACACAAAATATAAACTAACTGATGCTAACTAACAGCTAGATATTTAGGAAACATTCCAATTCCTACTAATTGTTCCATCAACTCTGTGATAAACAATGATCAATAAGAACTTCAGATTGTTCTCAAGAAGCTTTACTAGTACCAAAAGTGCTGATCTATTTTGGAAGACCAGTGGAGTTCAACCAGGTCTGTTGTGGGATATCAACTCACTGAAGACATTGGTGGATGTGTCGCTCAATTTCATGGATCAGTTGAAGTTAAGCATTAACACCGTAGGAAGTCGGCCATCTTAATGGTCTAGTGGTTAAGCGCTCTCGTGCGAACCTGATAGGCACTGGGCTCGAATCTCGTGACGCAGGATCGTGGACACGCACTGCTGAGGAGTCCCACAATAAGACGAAACGGCTGTCCAGTGCTTCCAGGTTTTCCATGGTGGTCTAGCTTCAATTGATTCATGATCTCAACTATTAAAATTATGTTAGAAGAGTACAAACTTTTATAAAATACTGAAATTTCAAAATAAGGAGAATTTGGATTATTTGAGTACAGTGGATGATTCTAATGAATTATATTCATATACAATAAACAAATATGTAAAATGCTTGCTTATTTTGTAGTTTACCTGTTATATCAGGTCTTTGAATTGGATCAGGTTCTAGACAAACTTGAATTATTTGATCAACAAGATTGGAATATTGATTTGGACATTTAATTTTAACTGATTGATAGTCACCTTTTACTATACGTGATGCAGTACTAAGAATACATTCACCTTGAAATGGTAAAGTGAATGTACACATCTGATATAGAATACAACCAAGTGCCCATATATCTGAACCTTCACCATACGGAAGACATTGTACCATTTCTGGACTATGAATGAGTTTCATTTTAAAAATATAAACAATAAGTATTATTAGATCAAATATACAATTATCATTAAAATATGCACGATTATCAAACGAAAGGATGGAAATTGAAATTAGTAAAATAATTCCTCGTTATAATTTATACACACCGTTGAGTGAAACTAAAGAAAAAGATTAGGGTTCTTGACCAATATTCGTAGCTGTGCGAGATAAAGTCTAGATCAACCAATAATTTAATAATAAATCTAATAGCTTTAATACAAAACAAAGGTTCATAGTAGGGACAAATAGAATAGATTACTTAGTGAATATGATTGTGTTTAGAAGAAATCGGAGTTTGCACTTCAGTAATAAACTGAAATAGTAGGTCAGTCAGGGCGGAGTATTCGTCTATGTTTATCGATTTTTGTGTTTATATGTATACCTATTCAGTGAGATTCGTGACAGTGATCTGTGGTTAAACATCTAATAAAATTAGATTTACAGATGAAGAACAAAGATATTCATTTATTACATTAAAATACATTTTAAATAACAGCAGCCTTCATCGTGAAGTACAAACGTAACTAGAAGTAGATATTGGAGTTTTCCTAAGCCTGATGATAACAAAATTAGGATCTATCTTATATGTTTGGAAAAGAGCAAATAAGACAAAAGGGATTTTGGTACGATAATTTGAACGTATTTGTAATGATAATATCCGGATCCAAAGCTAATATGAATACTGCTTCCATTCAAGAGTTATATTCCTAGCTGACACGTGGAATATCAGAAGACGAAGCCCAGATTGTAACTGAGAAGAATTAACATTTAGGAAAATTATCAAGATTTGTATAAACTTCTAAGAAATATAAAATTACAGCTAAAAAAGATTGAATTTCCTATTTGTCATATAAAAATATCAGAAAAGGTTTTGTGAATATTATAGTAATTCCAATAGTTGAGATCATGAATCAATTGAAGCTAGATCACCATGGAAAACCTTGAAGCAATGGACGGTAATCTAGCTTCAATTGACTCATGATCTCAACTATTGAAATATAAAAATATCTTAATACATCAATTTTTAGTTAGAACTATATACTCTATCAGAGTTTATTTGAAAAGGTTAAATTAAATAGGTTTTTCTAGTTTTTATATTATATGAAGTCATTCACTATAATTAAATTGATGCCAAAATTACTGAAAAGTAAAAATTACCTAGAAAGATATTTTATAATGGTTTAGGGCTTAGCTAATGTTAATTCTCCATTAGACAAACTAAATATCTAGTCACTATCCATCTTTGTTTATAATGTGTGTGAATAAAGGCAATATCTAGGCAATACGCACAGTATGCACATATATCAATAAGAGACTGACCAGTTGCAGTGCTAAAAATCAATGGGAAGATTCAAATAAACAATACTAAGTGGATTTAAACTTCACTCCCTTGCACAAGCAAGTACCTATTAGGACTCAGTAGCTGAGTGGATAACGCGATGGTGTTTGGAGCGAAAGATACTGGGTTAGAGTCCCAGAGTGAACATCAACTTTTAGATGCAGGTGTATCCAGATGACGAGCCCCAAATATGACGAAACGCGCGTTCTAGATTTCACTGCTAGCCACTATCCATCTTTGCTTATAAATATCTTTAAGGTTTAATTTTTAATAAATACATGATACGATACTGAATGTTGTCAATTTAATCAAACTTTATTCTTACAATACCGGTTGTCTTATCAATATGCCACTTGATTTTTATTCCAGCGTTTGTATAGAACTAATCTACTTAAGCTTAGACATTTGAAGTAGTATAACTATCTCCCATTTAATTAGATCTGGTTTGTTACTGAAACGTTTTTTTTAAAAGACTCAAAATAGATTTAAAAAAACTATATATTCATTAAATAACAACTGCTGTAATCGTTATTCATCCTAAATGCTTCATGTCTTAAGTGAATAGGAAAGACATTAGTTCATAATGAGTATTACCCAGATAAAATGTAATTTATGGTATAATATGTAATATGCATCAAAATAAATTAAATAATACCAGGCATATAATAATGTACCAACAGTTGATTTTATTTCATTTGAATTCAATGTTTTGTGGTAGGCTAAACCAAAATCTGTTATAGTAACCTGAAATATATAAACATAATTATTGATAAAATAGTTCAACAGAAAAGGAAATGTTAAAACTCGAGATTGGATTGAATATTTAAAGTGAATGTATTTATTTAATAAATGAACAAAATGACTTATACTGTGGTTACAGAGAAGACTTATAGAAATCTTTGTTTGAGTGAGAAAAAACCTAAAATTTTGTTTAAATTGAAGATAATTTTCATCACGAACTGAAGGATCATACAGAAACTAGTGAACAATGAATATTTATTGTCGTTTTAGTTTAAAACCTCTAAGAATTGCGTGCTCACGAACTCAAATGGAGATTGATATGATGAGCCAATTAGAAGTAGCCAAATAAGAAGGCCACTTAAGGAAAATCAGGAATGACCTAAAGGACAATTGCATAATCAAACACAGATGTTATGTTGCTGATGAATCTTTCAATCTGTTGTATCTAAACTTGATCAAGGATTAAAAAACTGTTTGATCGACCATTTGATGTTATTTATAATCCAGATTTAAAATTGTTCAATCAGCTAACTAATCTTATTTGTAATCAAAGATCTTCCCGTCCTTATATGATTCACAAATGGTGGCAGTTTTCCAGTGATTTTCAAAATGATCACAAGGAGAGAGCACGACAGAGTAAACCGCCCGAAGTGATCCCGCACCCCGCCTCATTTAATGATGTATCGCCAGCCAAATCAATGTTCAGAAGAAGGACTCGGACTTCATGTGATGCCCAGAATTCACATAGGAAACAGCCAAACTATAAACCTGAGGTAGGGAGAACTGTACTTCGTTTTCCTAAACGTCCAAGGAGGCGGACTTTTTTTCATGACTGAAGAGTGAGATAGTAAGCCAACCAGAAGTAGCTAAATAAGGTCACTTCCAAACGAGTTTAACGTCATACATCAACTAAGACTTCAAGAAATTCATCTGGACGATAATCCCTTATCAATGCATGATTATTATTTATTAAGGTGGATTCTTTGCAGATTATTTCCTAGTGATTATTAGTTTTTATCAGTCCTACAGCTATACTTTCGCCTCGTAATGAAGACTACTTTTAAAATAACAATTGTTTAGTAGAATGAACAAATACATTACTTACCTTGTTACCTTCACTAATCATTATATTATTTGATGATAAATCTCTATGCAGTATTTTCTTCTCTTTATGTAAATAACGTAAACCTAATATTAACTGAATAAATATATTCCATATATGTGATTCACTGAAATGTATATTCTTCTCTTTAAAAGATATAAGTAACTCTGTCAACGAAACACCATCCAATAATTCCATCACAATGTATAAATGATCAGCTGTAAAAGTCAAAAAAGAGCAAAGATGGATGTTGAAGTGAACGGAGTGAACATCAACTCTACAGGTACAGGTATATCCAGATGAGTAGTCTCAAATGGAAAGAAACGCACGTCTTGGATTTCACTGCTAGCCACCATACATCTTTGTTTATAATCATCATGTATTCTTTAAAATCATGACGACAACAACAGTAAAGTGGACTAATCATTTATTAAGATTTTAAGATGAAAATGAACCACCTGTGATATAGCTGTCAAGAAATTATATATATACAATCAAGTCAAATAGGCAGATGAATTGTACTATGAAAATAAGAGCTTTCTTTGTAGATAGTATTTCCCTACATCACATAATTTCTTTGCTTCGGTAACGTATTTTAATAATAAATCTAAAAATCTATTCTCATGTTATTTCAGATTTAAAGAAGTCAGGCAAAATGAGAATGTTAAATCATACTGTTCAAATAAATATTGCCATGATATAAACATTTAATGTATCCATTATCGAAATGAAGAAATAGTGTTTTTATATTGTAAGTGAATTGAAGACATGATGAACTGAAACTGAATATTGTATATTTCAGTTCAAAAAAAGTATGCTACAATTTAAATGATTAGCATGTTTTATTAAAAAAGGGGAAATGTTGAACAGAATCTGATCTTAATGACTAAATCACTACTGTAGATGGTCAATGAATAAGAGAAACTACTCACCAAATGATTTTATTAAAAACAAGTTTTCATGGTGATGAAAAGTACTCACTTCTGATTTAATCTTAAGTATTACTATTTACTATAAGAATCAATCACACTATGAATGTATACAGTTTACATACATTGATGGTTATGAAGATTATTTTTAACAATCACTAATATTCCTATTCTTCGTTTGGTCTCGAACTATGACAGCTGAGGTATCTGTGAGTTTCTCAGTCTTCAAAAGTTAACTAAACAAATACAGTTGATGACTCACTCATCTCAAACTTTAATATTATTTAAAACAGTTATTCCCCTTAATAAACATTTTTGCAACAGTATTATTGGGTCCTTCTATAAATCGAATTTCAAGTAAACATCGAAAACTAGGGAAGTTTTTCTCAAAATGAATCAAATTCAAGATATTCGGACAACACACATTTCATGTATTAATAAAGAGAAATGAAAAAAGGTTTGAATTAGTAAAAACTTACAATCTAAAAATGTCTTATAATAACGAACAATATTTGGATGCCTTAGTTGTTGTCGTATAACATTGACTTCATTCAATATACGATCAATACACTGTTGACGTTCATTTGAAGTTCGACCAAAAAATATTTGACTAGTACTAACCTATGAATATAGATTAATTAATAAACTTTTCAATATTATAGATCAGAGGGGGTTTTGTGGAGAATTTAGTATTTTCATAGTTGAAATCATGGGTGAATTGAAGCTAGGCCACCATTGAAAACCTGGAAGCACTGGATTAGATTATAAAATAGACTTATATGAATTATGAATAAATTTTTCTTGATCTTTACTGTTTGGTATTATTTACTGCTGTATTCCATGTGATAACACATACTATTGATAGCAAAGAAAATACAAATCACTTTTGTCTCTAACAGTTTCATCAATATCACATAGACTAAATGAATTCATAAAACTAGAAGGAAAATTCTCAGTTACGTCTTTATTAAGTAAGGTCTATTGAAACATAATAAATAGTATAATAATAAAGGTAGATAAAATCAATCATTCAATGAACTAAGATTTAGAAATTCTTTATTAGTACATATATCCCTAAAATAAAAAATTTACAGTTGCCATAGATAGGTTAAAAGACTAATGGTCACACTTTTCACCTTGATAGTGAACCGCAGCTGTATATACCCGCACTCTAATTGTTATATCCTGGTGAAGACATAAGTACGGGTAACTTCCGGGACCTATTAATGGACTATTAAATATATATATATATATATTCTTATTGTTTAACTATTGAGTAATTAGATTGCATATATCTATATTCATCTTATTATAAGCCTCTGTTATGCGAATCATTTATTTCAAACACTCGGGTTTTTTTATGGAGTTTTGTTCTCTGAGCTGGATGGTTTGGTCATGGAGCTTTCATCGTCCTTTGGAACGACATCATCAACACAAAATTCGGGTTTATATACCAGACAAACAGACCGCATCACACCATAAAATAGCAAATAATATTTGTACAAGATCAAGCCAAATGTGGCTGTAAACGTGGGATACAGCAATCAATGAACTGAATATAATTTTGAGACAGTAAATCGTATAATAATAATTTATAGATCAAAATAGAGCTTATAATAAGATGAATATATATAGACTAAATCTAATCACTGAATAGTTATACAATAACAATATATATAGAATAACAGTCCATTAATAGGTCCCAGAAGTTACCCGTGCTTATGTCTTCACTAGGATATAACACTCTTGCTTATATTCATACTGAAACTCAAAAGGGATACCTTTCGCTTCAAATGCCTAGATGGAATCAGCAGTGATAAGATGTAAACAGTTATATATAACATCCTCGTTAGTATGAAGAATAGTCAGTCAAATATAATCAGTTCATTTCATTCTTGATTTTAGTTAGTTTAAAAAAGCTGAATATCATAATATCTAAAAAATGAATTCATTATTGAAGTTTCATATTATTAGCTCTTACCTAAATGAAGTTATATTTTGTTATTTTCTAACGAACAATAAATGAATGGTACATGCTAGAAATTGTTTATAGACTATTATTACATATATTCTTATTGGGCAACTATTAAGTAACTATATAATATGTATATTTACATTTCTTTTATTATAGACTTTCATTTGATCTATTAACTACTATTATACGATTTACTAAAGTTATTCCCAATTTATTAGTTACAATCTCTTACACTCATAGCCACTTTTGACTTGATCTTGTATAATTTTTACATTTTTATTTTATGGTATGATGCGGTCTAATTCGCTTGTATATAAACTGCTTATGTCTGAAATACATGATTTATACAGTGGAAGCTGAGATTGTGTCCTGGACTCAAACTAGAGGGGCTAGTTGAGAAGATCCAATAAACACTCAGAGTTGACTCTAGGCTGCTTGTACTGTTTAACGCGTCATTGGTTTGGAACAGTGCCAAGATCATGTAACGGTGTTCTAATTGGAGATTTAGTCACGTGATATTTGAGGGGGCTTAAGATATAACATACGTCATTGTTCTTTCTTCATCACAACAACTTATTACTAACATGAGTAAATAATTCATTAGATAAATTGGAAAAAATGTTGCAACTTAGATAAAATTGTGTAAACAGTTGTAATTCATCAATTACGACCCTGATTATTGATACTTTTTTCAGTTTCATTAAAAGAGTACTTTCTATCTAACAGTTTCAAATTGTAATTTGTAACTTTATTTAAAAAAAACCACTAATGTATAAACCAATAATGGCTTATTGAAATAATAATTTTTTGAGCATTGACGGAGTAACTTATAGATGAATTAAAACCCATTTAAGCACAGGCTATTTATCACTTTAAATAATTCAGAAATCAGTGATTAATTTATCATTGGTATCATTAGATAAAGATTATTGTCCATCACTAGACATGAAACATTTAGCATAAATGTATTATTTGCCTTTGTATTTGAATAAGGCATTGATATAATCTTACACTGATAAGACGAAATAAAATATAAAATATTTTAATCCAGCATTATATTTATTCAACACAACATACATTTTATTTCAATGTAATGTGTATTTAGTATATTAATGTTTCGTATCAATTTGGTGTAGTATTCGTTCAGGATTAGTTGTGTATTAATACAACATAGAATCCATTTTATATTTCCAAAATTTCAGTTATATATATGGTATTCATTGACTACTGATAAAATGTCGGTAAAATCTTTATGAATGAATGAGTGTAGTTGATTAAGCGGTTAACGTGTTTTATCAGCCCTTTTCAAAGGCTGTTGCTTTCTTTCTTGTGCTGTTATAACCTCACAGTTTTATTTTTCTATTTTAATCTCAGTCCAGTATTTATGGCACATATATATTGACATTATTAAAAAATTGTCAAATAGCTGTTGGTTGATGAAAGTGGAAACTGACTATACAAGACAATATAGTGTTTCTAATAAGTGAATGGAATAGAACATTGCTCATAAATTAACAATGAAATGGTTGTTTCAGGCTGTATTTATCCTTTGATTTATTCGTCAGTTTACTTAACTCTAACTTTATTACTTCAGTCCCATTGTTAACTTAAATATGTAAGTTAACAACCGAGCTGCAATAATAAAGTTACCATTAAAAATACTGAGATGGCTGGGATATATGTTGCATATGCCTAACCCCCACCTACCTTGACAGGCGATGTTCACTGGTACAGAAGTAGGTTGAAAGAAAGCTAGAGGAGACATAACTTTTGTTTGCGTTAATTTTACTACTTTTATTTTGTTTACGAGCTTTATCTTTTATTTCTAATCTTTCCTGTTACTACTCGCACTGTTACTACCTCTATCATCCTGAGATTGAGTCTGACAAATTTATTTCTGTGTGCTGGTGCGGTATGACAACTTTAGCCGATTTCTGTTTCCTTTTCATATGCAAATAAATATAACATGACTATGTTGGTTTTTTATAGTTTTTTTTAAAAAGCAAAATAAAGTCAAGTTAACAAATATCCTCATCAAACAGTTCAATGAAAATTACCTTCTTAATTGCATAATTATTATAAGGCATTTTATTTTTTGATGCTTTAAATACTTTACCATATGCACCAGTTCCAAGTAATTCTAATATTGAATATTCACGTACATAATGAATAGGTGTTCGATTTATATCACAAGAAATTATACCATCAATAAGTTGATTATATTCTTCATTCTATCACACAAAAGAGAAAAAAATTGATTAACACAAAAAAAAGACTACGTTTCTATTTGTTTTATATAAACATTAGTCGATGACACCACATTAAATAAAATAATTAATTTTGTATTTGAAATCATGAGTCAGTTGAAGCTAGACCACCATGGAAAACCTGGAAGCAGTGAAGGGCCATTTCGTCCTTTTGTGGGGCTCCTCAGCGGTGCGCATTCATGACCCCGCCTTGCGAGATTCGAACACAAAACCTATCAGTCTCGCGCGCGAGCGCTTAACCACTAGACCACTGAGCCGGTATCCAACGGTATTAATTTCTAATTTCAACTGAAAGGTCCTGGGTTCGAATCTCGAGAGGCGGGATTGTGGATGCGCACTGCTGAGGAGTCTCACAATAGGAAGAAATGGCCGTCAAGTGCTTCCAGGTTTTCCATCGTAGTCTAGCTACAATTGATTCATGATCTCAACTAATAAAATATTCTTCAATTTATCTAGAATACAAATACTTGTTACGTAACTTAATAATTTACCCTAGGATTCTTAAGTTTGGTAAATAAGATAGTAATTTAGTAGAGTCAACATTTTAGATTACAAAACTATTGGATCATTGTAGAGTAAAAAAAATTGAAAATGAATGATTAATATAATGGATATTTCATCCTCTTTACAAATGCAAGCATTTTGATGTTCAATAAATAATAATCTCTATATGTATAATCACAATGAATAATTTTCTTGATGGTTATTTGTTCTTACCTAAAGATCTGTAAAATACAGTTTCAAAGGTAAATTTAAAATTTAAAATATGATATACTAGACTCTTACAAAATTGTAGGTTATGTTTGTGCTAAAATAGTTGTTAAATGAAATCGGATCAAAAGGTTACACGTTGAATGTAACTATAGTCAATAAAAAACGAAACTTCATCCTACCTAACGTTTAAGATGATGGCGTTTCAAGTAGAATCATTAAAAGGCTTAACACTGTATTAGACAGAAAACAATCTGGAGCCAAACTACTTGTTGAGCATAAAACATATTGAATAACTCAATAAAAGGTTGACAAGTACTTTTTTATGTTAACGTTAACTACGTCTATGAATTTATATATCCTTCTCAAGGTGGCTACATTTTTCAGAAAAAAAAGAGGGCTTATCCCAGAATTTTTTTAAAAATCTTTGTAAAACTTCTGGTCTTAAGTCAGAACAACTTATTTTCTGGACAGATTTTGGACACTAAACCTCCGGATCGATATATGTAGATCTTTCAAAGTTAGCAGTAAACACATAACCCTCAACTTTTCATGGATTCTTGAAACTATTGCTCTTAAGCCATCAAGACCAAATTTATGTGTCCAGAAGAAAACAGTCGTTAACATTTTTCTCGTTTTGAAAAAAGAAGGATCTTTTACGTTAAATCGTAAAATTGTTTCGACTCCCTGTGTGAAGGTTTACAGTATCTCTTTAATTTTCAATTATCTTTTAGGTACAATAATTACATTCTGAACTAAGTTTTACCCATCCCATTTTTGTTATTAGCTTTTGTTAATTATTTAATCACTTATTGCTGGTTCGTTTGTCTTTTATTGTTGTGAATGTTACAGAATGTAATTATGTGGTGTGGGTTAGTGATATTTACATAAGTAGTAAATGGTGATGGTCAGTCATTGAATGTATTTCAGTAAAAGATCGATAAGGAGAGAACGGGTATTGAGCGCAATTTGTACGAAAAAGCATGAACAATTATAATCGGAGACTATAGACGGATATTAGCACAAGAAACAGTCGAATCGAGACAATTGATTGATATTTTGCAAATTACCTGTTCACTGTATGGTTCTCATATTTTAATGAGATTTTCTGTGATGTTGTGCTAAAATACATTCTATGGTCCCCATTCGTGTTCTTTTTCACTACCATTATACATATCATATACATTGGCAATATTTTTATTGAATCTCTTAAATTTATTTGCATCTTAGCTTCACTATGTTGGTATATTTTCACAGCAAAGTTCAACACACATCAATTGTGTAGTCATTTTCAACTTTCTCTGTATATTTGATTTATAAATGTTACAGGTTTTTTTAGCATCGGACGAGAATTTTTCGAAACAAAATGAATTCATATCATTGTGTCCAAATCTTTGCTCCAGATCTATTCAAGATACTTAACAGACACTAAGTCTATGAAATTAAACTTGTCAAATATTCCATTAAAACAATCAAAGTAAACAATTGATTATTTTCATTAAACAATGTTAGAAAAGAAATCCATGATCTTTTTTGCGTGACTTACATTTAATGATACAAGTAGATTAACTAATTTTTCATAATCATTTGTATCTGTTGTTGTGTTGATATTGATTTCGATTAATTCCGATAATAAAGATGACGGTAAAAATGATTTGATTAAACGTCGATTATGTTCAGATATAAATAATCGACGTAATGCACAAAATGCATTTGCCTTGTATAGAAATATGATAAAAGATACAATAATACAGAACACAACAATGGAGAGAATATAATTATAAAATATAATATTAAAAAGATTTTAGTCGTTGTTAAATATGAGATACATTTCAATTAAATGGATATATATATATATATATATATATATGTATGTTCAACTAACAGCAATAAATTCTTACCTCATAAGCAAAGATGGATAGGGGATAGCAGTAAAATCCTGGACGCGCGCTTCGCCCTATTTGGGACTCGTCAGCTGTATGTACCTGCATCTCAGAGTTGATGTTCACTCTGGGACTCAAACCCAGTACCTTTGGCTTCAAACGCCATCGCGTTATCCACTCAGCTACTGAGTCCTGAAAGCCACTTGCTTGTGCAATGGGGTGAAGTTTAAATTCACTTGGTATTGTTTGTTTGAATCTTCTCAATGATGTTTAGGACTGCAATTGATCAGTCTCTTATTGGCATATGTGCAAAGATCTATCTATCTTTGCATATAATGCTTGTGACTTAAGGCAATGTCGAAGCAATACGCACTGTATACACATATGCCAATAAGAGATTGATCAATTGCAGTCCTAAACATCAATGGGAAGATTCAAACAAACAATACTAGATGAACTCTTACCTCACTTTCAAAACCAAGATATGACAACTCCCATTTCTTTCAACCTCAGTTACTTCAAAAGACAAATCATACATAAACGATAAATGTCGGAGATCACAGAAGATTAATTATAAAGAAATACACCCATGTATAAATATATGTATCATATGCTCAGAAATGAGGTGAAACAAGTACACTAAAAGAATCCAAAGTCACTAAAAGATAGCTTCTTTAGTTATGATGAAAACTTAAGATGGCTCTCATAGAGAGATTTGAAGTAAATAAAATCCATATTTACAAAATATGTCTGCATGAAAAGTTATCACTACAGTTTCATATCGAACAGAAAGTCAATGAAATCCTCAAAAAGCCATAAATATCTGTTTTGTTCTAGTCTAGGATTCTTTACTTATGAAAACCAAACAATTAAATATGGTATAAAGCACAATAGCTTTGTGCAGGAGAAGACGACCAGTGTAGCAGTAGCCTCAGCAGCAGTAGGTCTCAATATATACAAAGGGAAAAGCAAGATTCTCCGATACAAGACAACATGCACCAATCGAATTACACTTGACGGAGAAGCTTTGGAGGATATGGAAACCTTTACATATCTGGGCAGCATCATCGATGAACACGGTGGACCTGATGCATATATGAAGACGCGGATCGGCAAAGCAAGAACAGCATATTTACAACTGAAGAACATCTGGAACTCAAAACAATTGTCAACCAACACCAAGATCAGAATTTTCAATGCAAATGTCAAGACAGTTCTACTGTATGGGGTAGAAACTTGGAGAACTACAAAATCCACCATCTAAAAGATACAGGTGTTTATTAACAGTTGTCTACGCAAAATACTTCGGATACGTTGGCCAGACACTACCAGCAATAAGCTACTGTGGGAGAGGACAAACCAGATTCCAGTGGAGGAAGAAATCAGGAAGAAGCGCTGAAAGTGGATGGGACACATATTGAGGAAAGCACCGATCTGCGTTACAATGCAAGTCCTCACATGGAATCCTGAAGGTCAAAGGAGAAGATTAAGACCAAAGAACACATTACGCCGACAAACGGAGAAAGACATGAGAAGAATGAGCAAAGGTTGGATAGAACTAGAAAGGAAGCCCCAGGATAGAGTGGGTTGGAGAATGTTAGTCGGTGGCCTATGCTTCATTGGGAGTAACAGGAGTAAGTAAGTACAATAGCTTTGAATCAATATTTGGAAACCCAATAGTAAACATTTCTGACTTTGGCACACTCCGTTTATGTACAAATGTAATCACTTCGTATAATTTTTGTGCACAAAATCTTTATAAGGTAAAGAATAACTTAATGTTTAAAATTGAGAATAAATAACTTACATATAAATGGCGAATGTTTCCTAACCCAAATTTATTTGTATCAATTGTTTGTTGACTTTCAACATTATTAGTTTGTTTTAATTCGGACTCAATTGCTGTTAAACATTGTTTTTCAATATTACTTGAATACTTAATTAATAATTGTGAACCAATCAAATGTATACCATTTTCACGTGCAATAATTTGAGCATAAAAATCATTCATTGCCAATTGAGATAATATTCCACATATAGCTTTATGAAGAGGTAGCAAAATATATAGCCGAAAATCAAGTCTTATTTATTGATAAGCTAACAACAATCGGTCATAATTTACACTTAATATGAATGTTGTTTAGTAAATATCGTTTAAACAAGATCTAATATGAGTTTGTTCATCAACCATTCTAACCAAACAATTTATTGACTGTATTCAATCATATAGGAATAGGTCGAATGGTACAATGATTTATTTATTTACCATCAGAGCTATCAATCACAACATTGTCATAATTATGATATAAAAAAGAAAAACTTTCTGTATTTACATTGAGTGATTGAATAGAAATAGTAAAGATAAAAGTATTACAAAATAAACGTCTATGTAGACTGCAAATATCCTTTTGCTACTAGCGATTCCGAAAAGTTAATCATAAACTATTTTGAAATAATTAACCCACGCCAACCTATGAAATTCTGTTTAATTTACTATAAAAGTGGAGAGCCTTTCAGATTATATTAATGACTAAAGGAGCATTCAATAATGAAGTTAGACTTTTCTAAATGGTAACTTACATGTATTGCGCCGTATAGTATCTTGGTCAAAATCATGTACCTTGAGAAAAATTAATAAGAGATTAAATAACAAAATTTATTTCACTATGGCGTTGTAGAGGTTGTTGAGTTTTATTGAAAACACAAACCAATCTAAGTTTAACAAAGATTGACAACCTGGAAATACTGAAACACCGTTTTGTTTTAGTGTGGGACTGCTCAATAATACAGATCCACGACCATGCAACTGGTAATCTGATCCAGGACCTTCTGCCTCTCCCGCAAATACTTAACTTCTTTTTTTGAAAAAAACTATGAATTTTAACCGAACGTTTCCTTAAATAACAGTATTCAGTAAACATTCAAACGTGATACTTATTACAGTAGTCTAACCTGTTGTGACATTTGTCAAAAGTTAATTTTTTGTTCACTTAATGCTGGAACTTTAGAATAAAGATCCTGAGTGATATGTTATAACCATAAGCACCATATAGGTATCTTTGAATTAATAAATTTAGTAACGAACTACTACGAAAATATAGCTTGATGATCGAATTACACAGTATACTAATAATTTATATAGATATCCTATAATTTATTTAAATCAACATTAATTCTGAATTCAGTTCTCATCGTAAATCGAAATTAGTAAGAAAATTACTGAAAAACAGTAAATATTGGAGAGATGATTTATCCTACAACGGGTTTCCTCAAGAGAGCCTACCTAAAACCCACATAAGATTGAAAGAAACCAAGACCCTAAGTTTTCACAGCAAGCAAGAAGGATTTCTTTAGTCCACCCATGGAGTGACTATTATCTATTGTCAAAACTAATAACTATCTCATTCTAAATATCTTTGGCTAAATAGTTAATGGTCCCAGTTTATATAAAATTTCAAAAACTATTTATCTACATAAAAATTTAATTGTCATCACATCCATATAGACACACAAAGGATTGAGAAAAGAAGAATAGAAAACAATCCATATTCTTTAATATGTATTTATTTGAAATCAGATAATCCATTCATAACCATAAAAGTTAACTCACCAATTTCGTTTGACAGAGACATTCTTCTGAAGTTTTCACGGTATATGTCGACGGGTTCGTATAAACTGAACAATTAGACAGTTCTTTTATGCTGCTAGGGTTGTTTAAATTGGATTTGAACTGCAAACATACTCTGAAATTTATTAAGATATTTTTTATACCAACTTTATCATGAGTAAATATAATACTTTACCAAAATTTCATTTAGGATATTTTAAGGGTTTTCCTAAGGAATTACAGATGAAACTGTTTTACCAAAATAATGTAATTGGTAAATTATTAATTATTATTAGAAGGGGTTTTATGGATATCATAGTAATTTCAATAGTTGAGATCATGAATCAACTGAATTGGGTTCGAATCTCGCGAGGCGGGATCGTGAATGCGTACTGCTGAGGAGTCCCACAATAGGATAAAACGGCCGTCGAGTGCTTCCAGTTTTTCCATGGTGGTCTAGCTTCAATTGATTAATGATCTCAACTATTAAAATTACTAATTGGCATATAACTTCTTAGACACAAATACCCTTGAAAAATAAAATTACATGCTGACACTAAACTAATATTTAACATAGTGATATGATGGGATAAAAAGGCTAGATTACGACTTTTCCTAATTCATTGTGATCGTTGCTAAATATTGGGCAGCCTGTGTTTATCCACGAGGGGTAAAAGACGTAAGTAAGTAAGTATTTGCTAACTATTACTTCCTCTTTTTAAAGTCAGTGTGGTAACTGCTCAGAATAATATTTATTTGATTTTCAGTGTAATAATTATCTGAGCATCAGATGGGTTTCATTTTCAGTACGACGTTTATTCACGATATGATATTTTTTTGTAATATAACAGCGTGAACAATGTTTAGCATGACATGTAATATGTGGTTTTTTTTTTATAAATCTGGGTATTTTTCATATATGCGACATTTTGTCAATAAATAAACAAGTGGATGGACAAATCAACATATAAATGAGTGTATTTTTGACTAGGATCGTCATGTTTTGAAATTGATGAGTTTTCACGTGTACCAGTCTTTTGTATTCCTACTTTCCATGGTGAGGATTGTAGTCGTTTCTCTTTTTCAAGTATAAATAATAGGGCGACTGGAATTTAATAAATAGTTCGTCTCATGTTGTTTAATTTAAACCCAATAATCGAATAAACGCCAATGATATTAATGAAACACTTGCATAGATTTCAGAAGAGTTACACAGTTTGAAACAGAAACTAATTTAGTCATCTGTTCTTAGATTGCTGACTAAATAACCTAAGGATTTAAAATAAACATGTGTAGAATCAAAAGATTTTGATAATTCGTTAACCGTTAATTACGAAGACGAGTTAAAATCATGACAGTTATTCTGTAGGATAATAACATATTTGTAAAAGCAAAACATTTTGTACAGTTCGTGCAAAATGCTTGGATTAAGTAGATTCAATAATTGGTCGATATGATTGTTATTATATTCACCTTATTGATTTGAAAAAAAACAAATCTTCCATATCAAAAATGACCGATAAATAGCACTATGAAACGGATCGATAACCTATTAATAGAAATAATTCACTTTCAACTACTAGAACCCGGGCTTACATCCTACATCATCTGCTATGATTTTTGTAGCTGACCAAGTATTACTAAAACTCGTACAAAAATGGTTAATTCATAACTGAGTACATGAACTCTATTACCTAATTACTGAGCGGGAGAAGACAAGTAAATAATTTATGCATAATTGTCAAAATAAACGAACAATTCCTGTACATATAGTTTCTCACATTTAGGATTGATTAATTACTGATTGGTAACCACTATGATGCTTTTTAGACTTTGCTGCTGTTTGAAGTCTATCGACCAAATTAAAATGTGGCCAATAGCCCGAAGTTAACTGATATTGCCAACACTATGTTGAGGTGTTGGGTGATGAGAGGTAGTCGGCAAGAATCTCTGAACGTTCTTACTCGTCAACAGAAAGTATCTGTGACTATCTAACATCTCAACAATGTGAATGCGATATTGAGTCACATAAACTAGTGTGAACATTGCAACTTCATTGATGGATGTTCATTATTACTAAATCATCATATATATATATATATATATATATATATATATATATATATATATATATGACACTGGTGTCTACTCAATAATCGATCATTGATAGCATCTCAGACTGAGAAACTGGGCAACACGATTTTGAATTCTAAAAGAAGTATTAGTCCCCTCAAGACTATAGGTGCACCTTACTTACGAATATCAACTAACACAAAACCTAGACCCAAGGTTACCTGACAGCTAATTAAAACCACCTTAAACAAATTCTCACGTTCACTATTTATGTACAAACAGAAGATGCAGCGCATTCACTTTCAACTTTGATCCGAACCTTATCAGATTCAGATGACCACATATATAATGGAAGGTGAATTACAACCTTTGAATGGATTTTTCTATTGAATATTGTGGTACATCTCATCAAAATAAAATAAAACAACACTTATTCAATGATTACAAGGTATGAGAAATACATATAATTACATTTCTTCAGCAGACAAATTTTAAATTAGACAAGGACCTCATTGTCAACTCTACAAACATTGTTCAACTAATCTATGTTAACTTAGGAACTGAGACTCGTTGGTATAGCTAGAATATGAGTTATATATCACGTAATGACGCCTGTTACGCAAATTTGAAAACAAGCAAACTAAAAACTTATTGAAAATCCATGACGTTACTAACTGAAATTTCTTTATTCAAACATTCAAAGATGAAAATAACTTTAGCCTGATACCGTAGATAACAAATTAAAATCAATTCAATTGACACATATGTAATTACTGCTTCTCTTGCTATAAAGATCGAATGTTTATTCATTCTTTGCATATATTTTGATACAATTTATCTCCTGATTATCTCCTAGCTCCATGATACATTAAACTAGTTTACTAAAGTGAATGAATATACATCGATTTTCTATCAATCTAGAATCTTGTACATATAATAACAAGAAATGAAATACGATTTCTTTGTTATAAAACTAGAACTTATTAAATAAGAATAATATATATTTGTAAAATCTCAGTGAATGAATTTAAAGTAAATCCAACGTTTCACCTGGCAATCTAGTTCAAACTTTTTCAAGGAAATATAATTATTATTATTGCCAGGCGAAACGTTGGATTTACTTCAAATTCATTCGCTGAGATTTTACAAATATATTATTGATCAGAAGGGGTTTTGTGGAGAATTTAGTGTTAACATAGTTGAAATCATGAGTCAGTTGAAGCTAGACCACCATGGAAAACATGGAAGCACTGGACAGCCGTTTCGTCCTATTATGGGGCTCCTCATCAGTGCGCATCCACGATCTCGCACTCGCGAGATTTGAACCCAGGACCTTGTAGTTTCGTGCCAGAGCACTTAACCTCTAGACCACTGAGCCGGCCGTCATCCAACGGTGTTAATGTCTAACTTCCTATTTAATGTCTTACATCAACTCGACGCCCAAATACTATGAAACTATTCGCTCTAATTTAAACAAAAGTTCTTCTAAAATAGATAACTTACTTTAAATAATTCAATAAAATTTTTATTCCATTATGATTACGAAGATTTTTTTGATATTTTGATATTTTGATTAATTTTTCTAAACATAAAATAATATACGTTTTAAGTGTAATTAAATTTTCAATCATTTCATTCATTTCAATAGGTTGATGAATTAAAGAGAAATAATCAATAATTTGAAGAATTTTTAAATGATACTCTTCATTTATTTTATTTGTTTCTAACGGTTTCTGTTATTATAAAATTAAAAAAAACAACAACAAAAAACAGTATAGTTTTATTTATTGGGATTTTATCTTAATAATTAATTAATAAACAATCATTAAACAAAACATATGATTAGTAAGAATGTAAATAGTATATATATGAGACTCTAGGTGACATGGCTCAGAATCGATCACAATGGCGTAGGTGTATACACTCTTTGTCTTCCCTTAAACCGTGAGATTAAAATTACTTCAGATCTGTCTCCCTTCCTATACTATATCTTTATATACAATCTTTCTTTGATATATTACCAACGTTAAATTAACTACTTCTATGAATTCCGTGTTGATCTTGTTGTGCTAATGAGGTATGGCAACTTGGACCGATGCATATATGTGCCTGGTCCTACATTGTAGCTGACTGACGGAAATAGTATATATATATGAACGATACATTTACTAAAAATAATAAACTATTTCAGTAGTTTTATGAGGATTTTTAAAAAAAAAACGTTTAAAGTATCGTTTATCATTGACTGATAACAATTGTGGTATTATTGAAAATCGTAAAGTAATAGTCAAAAGTTCCGTTTATATTTGTAACCCGTTTTATTATTACCATCACTATTATTATTATGGTTGGTAGTAGTAGTAGTATCAGTATTATTATTAATGAATTTATTCAATGTGAAGCTTCAATTGACTGATGAATTCAACTATAAAATCACTAAAATCGCCAAAAAACCCCTTCTAATAATAATCATATGCTCATTAGTGACTGGATTCAAGAGATATTTCTTGGATTTTTAGTGAGAAGCAGTGACCAGTGGAGTTCACCCAGGTTTGTTGTGAGATATCAACTCATTGAAGACAATGGTGGATGTGTTGCTCAGTTTCGTGGATTGGTTGAAGTTAGACATTAACACCGTTGGATGCCGGCCAGCTCAGTGGTCTAGTGGTTAAGCGCTAGCGCACGAGACTGGGTTCGAATCTCGTGAGGCGAGATCGTGGATGCATACTTCTGAGGAGTCCCACAATAAGACGAAACGGCCGTCCAGTACTTCCATGCTTTTCATGGCGGTCTAGCTTCAATTGACTCATGATTTCAATCATAAAATTACTGAAATCTCCACAAAACCCCCTTCTGATCTGAATAATGTTCATTCTTTTCAACTCATATTGCCAACCATCACGATGTCTCTGATCATACTTTTTTGTAACTCGTACAGCGAAAAGTTGTCAACTTATCATAAACAAGCTTGAATAGGTTGCGCAATCAAAAAACATAGTGATGTGTTAAAACAGGCAAAAACAGATAACTTGTTGAAATATCTAGATGACAAAAACGTGTAGCCCAGATATTCAGGCAGGCCTCCAAGGTACAGTAAAAAAAATATCCCACAACGAACTGATACGAAAACTGTAGTATTGGTCGCTATGTTAAGCCAGCACAGCTTACTCTAGCTTTCGGACAGATCAGTTTATTTATTATTACTGAGTCACATTTTGACCTTGTCAATTATTCGCTTATTAACGTCGACTGCTTTTATATGACCAAATGGGTGTGCACTTTTTATCCTATTCATTAAATGTGTGTAACTTATTTTTGTCTGACTGCAAATATCGATTAATGCTTGGTTAAATAGAGTTGCCTTATATGCCTTCTCCACCGCGTGTCATTTCTGTTCGTTTCGTTTCTTTAATCGTCTGTCTAGATCAATGATTGTGTTTGAAATATACATGTCACCAATCCTCGCAGATAATTATCAATTCGACTTGTGTTAGTGAATAACGGAATTAACTATGCCAAATACGAGAATGAATTCCAAATACGTGTATTTCATATATACGATTACATGCGTGTGATCACAAATATCTAATCATTGAGATCTTAAGATTTTTAATAGTAAACCAAAACGGTCTAATAACAACACTTACCGAGGATCCTTGTTCACTTGAAATTAATGATAAAAGTTTCGGTATTAGCAATGGTTTTGTAGACAAACATTTCAAGTAATCATCGTCTCCGGTCAGTACACAATGTAAGTATGATTTCAACCTTAATGAAATTTAAAATAGTCAGCATTATGATAAAAAGTTAATTGGAGGCTTAAAATTCCTAATAAAAGTAGTTCGGAAGTTGAAAAAATAAAAAATTAAAAAACATAATTTCAGCTGGCTTCTGAAAGAATATTCACCTTTATTGGAATTTACTATGATCGTGATTTAAGTTAATCTGCAAGTTTATTTGGTAAAAGGAATCTAAAAGTGAACATCATGTCGTCTCAAAAATCCATATATAAGTAATAAAAAATGATTTTTGAAAGCATATACTTTCTAAAACAATAATACTGGTTCGATCCTCATGAGATTTAGAGCAGCCTCTTAAGGGGTCGGAAACATGTAGACTTACGTATAGCAGTGTTTAACCGTCTCTACAATAATGTTTGCTCGTTCATACCTGAATACTATAAGGTTCTTTACTTTAGATATTTAAAATTTGTTGATATGAACTTACTGTCAAACTAGATGTCATGGTTATTGAAAGTGTGTTTTTGATAATTCAGAATTTCGCACTATCTAGAAAATCGGGAATCATTTCACTTTCAGCCGTACTAACATATATAGTCAGCAATCACTTCTGCCCTAAACCGATCACGCAAACCACATACTGTTCACTTAAACAGTAATCTATGTTACGATCATAATAATTTAGCAGGAAACCTTGGAATATTCTTTTGGATCAAAGATAGAAACAAAATGTGTCACCTCGACGTGAAATGTCTAATTAACCACATAATTGAGCTGTGCTGTTCAGATTGTAGTACAAAGGATTAGATGGAAGAAATACAGTGCAAAACCTGTGACAGTAATACTAAACACCACATCATATTTTAACTCATAGCCCACTGAAGTGACTATTCACTGATAAAATGCCTCGGATACGAACTCCGTCTAAGATAATGTACTATTTTAGTGAATAGCTGAATATATAAGCCAGCAAGTAGCTATTACCCTAGAAATCCTAACATTAAACCAATAGAAATGAAAATTGTAATTTTAACGCAGAGGCTAAATTATGACACACTATTTTATCTGATTTTAAATTCCATTTGGGAGAACAAATATGGCACGTTACACAGAAACGTCTCAAAATGTAGACGGTATAAAACTTGTTGAAACAATGTGTATGTTCAAATTAACACTATTTTTAACATTACAAAGGGATAAAATCAAAATCACTCTATAATTCTGGTGCACTAGAAAATTATGTTATTTAATTGCTCTGAATTGAAAAGTCGATAACTTTACGATCACTTCTATTCTTTTCCTATCATGGTTAGACTGATCTTTTAAATTTCATGTCAACGTTGGCAAGGGCTTGATATGCCTATTAAATGTCTTAAACAGCGTGGTCAATGGAGGTTAACAAAATTATCAACAATATTTTAGGCAAATTTTGATCAAAATAAAAAATTATATTTAAATAAACCAGAAACGTCATCCACAAACTCATGAGTATTTTTAATATGATGTGTTTTTAATCATACGTACTAAATATTTATCGAAGAATTAGTCAAATAAAACCATAATTAAACTGGCATAATAATGAGTAAAATGACTTCAACGATGATATAATGTCTATATAAGTGCAAATCTGAAACGATTCGTATTTTAAACAATTACCGTCTCTCAACTCGATCGATATAAGTTGGATTTCGCAACATTGTATGAATATTTACTGCTTCACCAATCTAAAATAATAGTTGACCAACTCTAACATAGAAAACTCCTGCTTCAAACAAACCACGGGGCAGAATACATAATAATTCACGTGACCATCTGTAAGTGTTCCGACATCTGTAATGAGAAAAAAACTACTTCAGCTTCGAATTTACTTTAGAAACAAAAATTAATCAAATCGAAAAAAAGTCGTGTAAAAGTGAGAATGAGATTAACAGAATACAAAAAAGAAAATAACTCTTCCAAAAGCAGCATTCTCTAGAGATCCGTACTCGTCAGAAACTTACACAATATTTATAATTGCTACACTAAATATCCAGTTAAGTACCAAGAAATGAAAAGTTTCTGATATTTAAGGAAAAGTAATTCGATATTTTGTTTTAAGAATCACTATGTGGAATTGCACAAAATAATGAAAACATTTATCCAGAACTTCTCAAATGTAACGATGAAACATTAATGACATAAAATCATACCGAAACACAGCTCAAAATAAAACTATTTAGAGCAACTTATATCTAGCTAGTGAGAAAAACATACTTTGTCACTGTGATAATCAAGCATTTTGTGAAAAATAACTGAGACAAAATTTGTGAGGAAACCGCTTACACTATAACACTAGTTAACAATGATAGAGGTTTCAAGGTCGTCCATTTTAGGGTCTCAATAAATGAAATTTCTAGTCTTTTATTGCCTCAATTTGAATGTTAACAAATACCAAACCTTTTTCAAAGGTTTTGGTGAAAATTTCGTAAAGCAGTACTAATATAACTGAACCTACTACGGGGCTATAAAAATTTTATTATCCATTAAGTCTATAAGACTGGGTAATGAAGTTCGCTAACTAACCAGTTTGGCCGGGACCTTTGTCAGAATAACTGGAAATATTTTGTAGCAATACCCGTGCATATAAGAAAATAGATGACATTCCACAACAAAACCACTACAGACCTGTCGTTATTTAGATTTGTTTGATGAATCTCTTTATAGATGAACTGGGCTTCCACTACTGACAATCTAATACCTACAGACCGTGTTCACAGACTTTTGTAATATCCTCCCAAAATCCCATACTTACAACTTATTGTGAGTCCAAATAGAGATTAAAATTTTCATAGACACCTTGGCAGGGACAGCAAGGGTGTCGTAGTTAACGAATATGAAATAAGAAAACAGTTCTTTTCTACAGGGTTACCGGCAAAAGTCATGCAACCATGTTTTTCATTTAATAATGTTTGTAAGTTACTTACATCACCATTGGAAGATAACAACAAGTGTGATGACGTATATAGGTTGTAGGGCCAATGAAATCTTACTGAAACCTAGCCAAATCATCCGGCAGTTGGGTTATTAAATATCGAACAGATCATCGATCCTCGTCAAAGTCAAAGACAGTCAACGCTCATCAGTTAATCATACGCCATGGACTAGACCATGCAGCAGTGGTTCTACTTTCGCTTGCATCTATTTTAACTAATATATTCCTGCAATAACGTTCTTTGTGTTGTACAGTCTTCAGAGCATCTTTAGTCCCTTAATACGTCGATGGGGCAATCCACGTAAGGTGCTGATCGCGAGGTGTGACTTCGAATAGGCCCCCCAATCATTCGACATAGATCGTCAACGTTGATGGTCTACAAGGTCATGATAACGAGGATTTGGATCAACTTTATTCATTGGCAAGCCATATACAATATGCTATTTCAGCAGCCCAGGACTTTCGACCTGCCGAAATTACACAAAAAATATCCCCGATGATATGAAAACATTAAATCTTAAAAGCATCTTAACATACAACTTGAAGGCAACAATAACCTTTATTCTTCAAACTTCTAAAACGTTGGTCTACCGGTTGCTTGGTTTTACAGCACAACTCCTTTATTTTTGTACATGTGTGTACACAAGTCACACAACAAGAAATCAATGCAAAACGTTTTTGATTAACTGTCAAGTACATACATTGAACAGAACTACGATACCTAAAAGTGAATAAGTTAAATCTCACTAAGACACCTGCGATTTGATTGGGTATAACTCAGAGGCAGTAGTTTTTCCCTTCCCAAAAAATATTTGGATTTCTTAATCTTATTACAGTATATCGTCTAAAATCAAAACTTTACTGAGAGCATAAAATGAATATTGTTGGAAATCACTTGGGTTTTCAGTTTCACTTTCAGTTTGGAAAGGAAAGGAGGCTTGATGGCCTGTGTCAGTCCTGATAATGATGGTCTCTCAGCTGATCCAACTTTCTTTTGAAGGAGTCGACGGATGAATCGCCAACTGAAACTGAAACTGAAACCACATGCTGCGGTAATGAATTCCACTCGTTGATGATTCGATGGAAAAGTCGGTAGTCAGCTGACAAGTAATTCGCTCTGGGCTTGTGAACTTTTTTGGAGTGTCCTCGTAGATTTTCTGTTTTGGAAGACAAGAAAAATGAGGGCATATCAGGTGCAAATTTGTGATTAAGCAATTTGAAAACTGTAATCAAGTCGCCTCTGATTCTTCTATATAAGAGCGGGAATAGGTTTAGCTTGGTCAGTCTAGTACTATACGGGAGCTTCGCTATTCCGGGAATCAGCCTAGTTGCTGTTCTCTGAACGTTTTCCAAGAGTTCACTGTCTTGGACTTTGATAGCCCACTTTTTTAATCCTTGAATTTGCGATGTTTAATAAAATATCATGAACAAACATAAGGTTAAATCAAGTGACGAAATGCAAATATATGACTGTTTGCAAATATACAAGTATGTAATTGCTTACACCACGGGTGCAGGCACGTTGTAGAATTGTGAAGTGAGCATCTCGTTGAGTTGACTGGAATTAGAGTTGGGGTGAATCCTTGTATGAGATGAGGATAAATTCTTGACTCGATAAGTTTTTAACTAATTTCAACTGCCTAATTAGAGGTATGGGCCCAACCAGTCTACCAATAATTTTAAACCAAATGTCCGTGTCCGTATATGCCGCCAAAGTCTATGTATAGCAACTGATGAAAATGCAAAAGTTAAAACAATTGACACTCATCATACTTGTGACAAGTAGAACGGTCAACGGAATAATTATGATAAACAATATTTTAAAATTAAAAAAAAGATTGAATAATAAAAGTAGGTGAAGAAAATGAACGTATTATTTAATTGAACAATTGAAGAGACGAGCAAACAATTATATGGAAATGACAATTAGATGAAGATCATAAGATATAATATAAGACATGAAGAAAAAATTGCAGCAAAGATGAATAAAAGCAATGGTAAAGCTGTGAGACAGTGTTGGGCAAATATAGTGAATGAAATGTCATATTGAGTTAGTGAATATATAGTAAAGATGGTAAAAACCGACCTCTAAGAGGTTTCACAGTTTCATTGATAAACCTTTTGATGAATTAGTCTTTATTATATTTGCTTAAGAGTTCAAACTGGCCGTTAAACTGGATCCGCTTGAGTTTACATGGTTGCTCGTGCTTTGTCAGGGGTGATATCACGAGTTTTTTGTTTCGGTAAAATAGTATCTTTTTTCACGGCTAATGTGTCTTACTGCGTCTGTTTTACAACTTCATCAGGTCACCTATTATTGTCTTCTAACTCGGTTACATGATACACAGTTAGTTAAGTTTTCCTCCTAAAGGGTTTGTTCCTTAATCCTATAACCCACTTCCTTACATGTCCCTTAACCCTCCTAAAAGATCCTCATTCCTAAAAGGTAAATAGGGTCCAACAACTTAAATACATTTGAAGTAAGAGAATTTGTGGGTTTTAAGTGTTAAATTAGTTTCAGAGTGAGTGTGATGCAGTCTCCAAACACAGTGAAGAACTTATGATAATTAGAAGTATTTGAATTGTAGTATGAACTTGTAATCCCAGGAATGACGCAATTTATTCAAGAAGTATCAGATGAACTCGAACGAATGTATTGTATTTGGAATTCAAAACTACAACAGTCATCAATACTAAGAAGTCATTGATTTATTTAAACATCACAGAACTGTATACAGCTTTATTGAATATCCACCACATGACATCAAGTCAGGTTTTATGTCAGTCGTTTGCCTCAGCCCATCAACCCTACGACATGAGATTCTTCTGACAAAATTCGCTGCCCGACCATTAGAACAATTATGCCTAGGAGCAATAAAAAGATGTCTGAACCCTATACCTATTTAACCAGGTAATACTGCATCCGCAGAAAAAAATCAGTGTCATTATCAGTCACTAACAACATGAAAACCCCTTCTCAACTAAACATGTTCCTTAATGCTTGGATTGTGAAGTCATAATTTGAAGTTGTTGAAAAAACGTCAAACCATTTAGAAAAAGAATCAATAACTACAAGTGCGTAGTATTCGCCAAGAAATGGACCACAATAGTATGCATGACTTCTCTGCCACGCTTCAGATGGTACTGGCCATGAAGTCCACGACAAAGGTCGACTTTTCAACTTATGACATTTTTTACAATTTTTTGCTGTACGATATATATCTGCATTTATCTCTGGCCACCAACATATGAGCCTTGTCAACGACTTCATTTTCTCAACACTTCAATGTCCACTATGAAGACTCTCAAGGACAGATTTACGTTATGAAGGAGGAATAACAACACGATCATTTAGACACAGAACGCCATCAGAAGTAATGGATAACCCATTCCTCTTTGAAAAATAGACAGGAAATCTGCGTTTCAGATTAGCTATCCAACCTTCCGGCATACCACTGAGTACACAATCAAAGTATTGAAGATACCACATGTATTGTAGTTTGACAACACTTTACCAGTAATTGAATCGCGCCCACCCAGTGAAATCAAAAGTCAGAAGTGAGGAGGTTCGAAAATATATTTAGTAGGTTATCAATATATCAAGAAGTGATTGATCTAAACTGGCTAGTGGTCGTAGGAGACGTTGAGAAAGGCGTTCCAACTCGTTATCTGGTGCGGATACGTGACCGAGCACCTTCAGCTAGGTGAGTTCATTAAAACTAATGTGGTCAGCATCCAATGTCGAAGACTTACAGAGCTATTGATTTTGGGGATTTCTTTACCGCTTTAGATCACTTATAGCCCCCTACTCGGATAGTGATGACCTTAAGACGTGGCCAGCCAGAAGTTCAAAATCAACGAGTTTGTCTTTGGTAAACACTGTTCTAATAGCTTGTTATGTTTAGCAGCATCTGGTCGTCTTTTCTTACTATAAGGGATGATGAAGTACAATATAATAGTAAGGAAACAAAGTACAATGAAAATTTCGGTTCCTAGTAAACTCCATCGTTTTTTTTTGTCGTCTTTTCCAGCTATCCGGAGAAGGAAAAAATAATATGTAAGTGCATATCGAAATACACTCATACGCGCGTAAAGACACAAAGCGGGCGATAAAGGTAAATAAACTCATTCACCTGCGATATCGTAAAAGCAATTTTTTAATTTTTTTATTTATTTTTAGTGAAAAAAGAATATACATCTGATTGAAAAAAAGTTTGCTTTTGTTTTTTGAAATAAATATATAAGTGTGAGCAGATTAAATTTTTTTATCATATATACAAAGAAAAATCGAGATAAGACAAAATGTTATCTGGTGTCTTACGTGCAATAGTCGTATAGATGTTCTGGAGATCTTATTCCTCTTCTAGAACGCGTTGTTTTAAGTTTGTTCTCTGATACTGCCAAAGTATCAACGTGCGTGTTAGCTGTCGGATGAGGCATGCTAAGTGTAGGAGCCGTGTCGTTTGATTGTACCGAAGGAAAATCGACTTGGATAAGATTTATTTCCAAATACGCTACATTGATTCGATCGATGCTGATGCTATCGACTATATAGTACTTAGGTTCAAAATGAAGAACTTTGAGGAGTCCTTCTTATGCTGATTCGAGTGGTGGTCGACGTGAGTCTCGACGTTCGAAGACATGTGCACTATGTCGTAAGTCAGTTTGAACGACAACATCAGTTGATTGCGGTCGAGTGTAAGCAGACCTAACTGGAGGCATTGTGTTTGTAAGCCTGCTGGTGTAGGAGTTTAATTCCATGTTCATTGAAGAAGATTAAGGATCCACGAATTCTCCTGGAAGTAGGAGTGTCGTTCCATAAACGAGTTGTGATGCAGTGTATCCGATGTCAGCTTTCACTGCATTGTAAACACCTAATAAGACAAGTGCAAGAGCGTAAATCGACTGTGAGATGTTTACAGGTGAGAGTGAAAATTTTAGTTATCGGTGAGTGTTCTACCAGTCCGTTTGCATGTGGGTGGTAGGCGGTCGTTCGAGAGAGTGCTTCCTCGTACCGTGGTCAGACAACGGAATAGCTCAGATTTGAACTGGTGTCTGTGTTCCGTAGTGATGGTTGAAGGGCAGCCGAGACGATCGGGAATGGCTTTTTGCGTTCGAACGCCGATAATCACCAGTTGGACGCCAATCGTTGCTGTTCTTCTTAGGGATCATGTGCAAAGGGGATGCCCTTGGGCTATTTGACGGTCGAATGATTTCTAACTGCAGCATGTGGTCATATTCGTTTTTAGTCAACTTCAGCTTTTCGGGAGCCATTCGGCGTGCTTTCGAGAATACAGATGGTCCTGTAGTCGTGATGTGTATTGTAACACTGCTAATTACACACCGCAATATCGATTGCGGTTGGTATATCCCAGAGTACTTATCTAGTAATTGTTGATAGATTGGGTCTACTGTATGCTCAATTGTGAGTGGAGATAATCTGCAACCGGAAAAAGAAGTTACGCTAAAGTATAACTTAGTGTTTCCATCTACTAGCCACCGTTTGCGCGTATCTATAAGTAGATTGTCGTGTTGTAGGAGGTATATACCAATGATTGGCATAGAAAAACCTGCAACAACCTTAGGATTACTTTATTCAAATGATTGGATCGGTTCAATTATACATTTTAGATACAAATCGTACAGCTTTTCCATGACCTTAATGATTTATTCATCCTTTAAAAAAGATTGTATCACCCTGTACTTGAAGTTTTGTAGGCTGAATTTACATACCTCCACCTCACTTATCACACGTAGCTATCAAATCTTTAAGTGAAGTATCAGAATTATTGTATTAACTAGGAATTCTCGAAATACTGAAATTTACAGCAAATACATCATTTTCAGTAATCAGTCCCTCCTTTTCCAGCATTAATCTACAATAAGTAAGATCAAAATGTAAAAAGCTGAATAGCACGTAAACATGCAATGTAAATTCATCTTTACCCTCAAACCCAATCCGTTCTAAAAACAATAAATGAAACTCACACACTAGTTCGTGATGATCATTATTCTTTCTGAATACGAAAACATCCGAAGAACACTCAGTCAGTATGGAAACGATAACCCTACTTTATACAGGGATTTCACATACCATTTGAACTTTGACAAGTATCACTAACTGAACTTTTAGTCCATGAAGTACTTAGTCCATCCATTTCAGTAACATGCTTTCAAATCTCCATTTTAATTACAGGTTACTGCTGCTCTTTACAATTGACCATAGAGACAATAACCTAAAGTTTACCGTTACGTCCAAGCTTTTGCTCTCTTCCGTCATTAAAGCACGGTATGTCTATCTAATTGTAATTTATGAATCCAGAAATAACAAAACTCCTATTCAGGCAACAAAGTTTATTCACAAATTACAAATAATCGAACCAAATATCGCCCTAATAATAATCATAACAATTACAAAACAAACCAATTTTTAGGACCACAAGGTAAAAACTTCCAAATACCAAACCAAAGAAAAGCCAAAATGTCGAAAGTCAAAGATATAAACAAACAAGTTCAGAAGTTGAGTAAAACAAATACATCCCAAAACACAGTGAAATTACTAATAGTCAATAAGTAAGTTCTTAATCGGCCAAACGTCTCCAGTTCTCCTGTAACACATACTATAACCTCAAAATGCGAAATATATTATACAATTAAGCTATGTTATCAGATAAACATTTTCATCCTTCATAATAATAAGTCGACTATCTGCAAACTAACATCAACTATTCTAGTTCTTATGTCTACATACTTTACGCTTAACGATGGTATATCGAAATTAAACCATTCAGGAAGGACCGTCACATAGTCTGCCATGACACCTGTAAACGCCAACTCCCGTTTACTATATTACATACTGGAATACAATTACTGAACTGAAAATTTGCCACGTACAATACAAACTCAATGTCCGTTATTAATAAGTAACTCTTATTAGTATGACTCAATTTATGGCTACGCTTATAAAGTCACACGCTCCATAACCTATTTATTAACACCTATAAACATTATTAGTTTACTGAGTGTAAACTGGTAGTACGTGTGAGAATATTTACCCACATTAGAACACAGAATTAGTCAGAATAGACTTTTTTTAAAATGAAAACCACAACAAGTGGTCCAGAATCAAATGTTTATTCAAAGCATTTTATCTCATGTTTGAATACATAGAAAAAGTACAATAGCCGCTATTTACAGGCCAATAGACATCTCAAGACATCCAGAAGTAATAGGAGATAAAGTTGCACAAATATAATCACTGAATTAACAAATTAGTTGAAAGACGTAGAGAACTCAAAATACAAACGTACACGGATAACGATTTAGAAAAAAATAGATGGAGATAAAAGTTTACATGGATGACTAATGGAAAAGCCTCCAAATACCCCAAAATAAGATCAGTGTAACAGCCACTAAAACCCAGAATAATATTTTATCCTGATGACTTCGCCGTTCAATAAGGCGCATAACAGTATTTGATAATCCAAGAGTATTCAGAATATCCATGATACGGCGTTGCGCCTTCTTTAAAGTCATTCTAAAGAGTAAAAAATATAAACTTACAAGTAAACATAAAATCCAGTACAAATATTATGAAATAAAAAAACAAATGTTTTCTTAAAAGTTATCGCATTACCGTACTTTTCCATTCATGTCAGTAGTTGGATGTGCTGGGTTTATAGGGAGACAACTGGTAGGGCATCCACTACGAACTGGCTACAGGAAGCGAAAAGTTCCTTACGAACTATTTTAAAAACAAAAGTTTCAAAAGTGAATGTAGTAAACATCATAAACCTCAGGAGATTGATCCTTTTCTATTAAAACTATACGAATTATTCCATAAAGCCTCTGACCAAGTAAATAACAAGTAGCCGAATTGTAAATTGAACAAAAACAACAACTAGTGGTAATGAAGATTTTGACTAGTAAGTTTAATTATAGATTAACTCGAAGTAACCATGTGAAACAAATAATCACTATAATTGTGTGAAAATGCTCAACAAAGATCCTTAACGACAAAACAATTATAACACCAGATCTAGAAAATAACGACACTTTCTTCTAAGTGATCACACACATACCTTGAATATTATTAGGCTGAACGTGACTCGATGAAAACAATCTGATGACAACAGGTAGGAAGAAATTTATTTCACTCATTTGCTAACTGAAAGACTTTTATTTCGTAAACTACCGTAGTCAAAACAAAATCAAAAGTAAAGGAGCATATTTAGATTATCACAGTTTATAATTGGTAACTATTCTATTTTTAAATTCTCAGTCATAAAATAATGGTTCGAATTACATTTTTGTTTGTTAGCCAATCATCTGAGAGTAACCGGTTTGATTCCAAACCTGGTAGTAGTGACTGAAAAATACGGTTAAAATGAAAAACTAAATGACACTATACGCTAAATAAAATTAAACTCAGTTTTAGATGTTTAGAAAGGATCCAAAGAAAAAAAAGCTTTTGAATCCAAAATTAATTAACATCTGGAAAAAGTATGTTCCTCGGCTCACGTTTGATTACGTGTTTTTAGCGCTTTGGGCCTGTGGAATTACTTAAATTATGAAAACACGTCAACCTTGATAGGACAAGTGAACAAAACATCGAAAGTTTGTATTGTATCATATAAGTCAAAAAAACTTACCCTTGTTCTTGTAAAGCACTTAAACTAAATGATCCTGATAACAACATATCATCAATTTGCTTTCCAACATTAGATAATCTTGAATAATGTTCTAAATCAGGGTCCAATTTGATAACAGTTGAGCCAGACAAACCATTATTATTACGTACAGATGCATTAGTAGAAAAATCATGAGATAATAACTCTTCACGTTCTATTAAGTGCCGCCATTTTTCATTTCTAAAAAGGATTAAACATTATTTACAAACAAGGTTTAAAAATGTAACAACCACCAATTACTGGAAACATAAATGTAAAAAAGATTTCAATTACGGTAAAAAGCTACATTTTTAAAAAATTCAAATCATATATGCAGTGAAAAACAACAATAAACTATCGTACTTACTTTTTTCGATCGATAACTTTTAAATTAGTTTCATACTGTTTACATTCAAAACGCGTTTGATCCAAACTTAAACGTAATTGAGAACGACGCGAATATGGTTCAACAGTTGAAAGTAACGTTGATAGACGATCACAATTCGAATTAATCTAAACAACCGGTAGTAATGAATAAAAGTACTTTTGAAATTTATCGACCGATTTGAATAGAATATTAACAAGAGAAAAAAACCCACGTAAATATGAAATGAGATTCACACGTTGAAAGGATAATTTCCGTGAGGTATTCTTCATGTTGTATGCTTCAATTGTGAAGGAATTGTTGTCATTCTGAACAAAACTCTAAGCACAAACTTGAAAGTGAACTGTTGAAATTTCAACTGGAATTAGTGCAGTTTATCAAGAAATTAGTACTACTTGACTAGATATAGATTCATATAATGAATCATACTCTTATTGTAAGGGTTAGTGATACAATTCAATTGAAAAAAAACGGTAGTAGGTGAAATGACGTTTGAACCTGCGAATGAGTAGAATACAGCTGAATGCTACCACCATTCAAGCAATTGGAGAAACAATAATCAACAACTAAAGTCAAAAGTCAGGCTAGAAGACTAAAATAACTGAAATAAATGAACAAATAATGAATGACAGAACAAACATTGACCAGAATTAATCAGACACCGATAACAGAATAACAGATCGTTAGTCATCTATCAAGGGATTCCTATAGTTAACTGTTTTTCAAAGCTTTTACTGACAGAGTTGCCCAACAGGACTCATGAAATGTCACCAGAGTATTAAAAAAACGTTAAAAGAACTGGATGTAAATAAGTAAATTAAATGAAAATGCGGAATAAAATCGGATGTTAAAAAGATAGATAATTGTTAATGTTTTTGATATTATTCAAACGTCAATTTCAGTGACCTTTCGTACTCATAAGAAAACACATAGAGTTATAAGTAATAAAAATACAAATCTATAGTTTTGAGCAAACTATTTTATGTAAATTCTGGGATCTGATGTTAGTTGGGCATCCACCGAAAACCAAGCAGCGCTAGACAGATATCCCACTCTAGTACGAACCTCCTCAGTAGTTCACGATCCTATCAGCGTCAAATAACCCTTAATGTTTCCCGGTTTGTAACACGATACGTTTTCTAAGCGAACCCTTGATGCCAACTCCCGAGTACCTTCCCAGATTTCTTAAATACTCTTAGGCTTAAGTCCCAAACGGTAAAGAAAAAGCATAAAATAAGAAGGGAAGCATTATTTCAAGGTTCCTTTATATCTAGAAAACAATAATTTCCAATCTTTTCTTATTCTCTGAATACTCTGTCAAAGAATTCTCATGTGAATTCAAAGAAACATTTGTCGAACTAGGGTCTATCTGTCATGCAAACTATGAAATCCAACAATCTCCACAAACCTCCTATGTTGAAACAACTTTAAATTTATTATGAAATGAATTGAGTGATAAGTGAAATAAAAAATAATAAAACCATCATAATCGAAATAAACTTAGATGAGGTAGGAGTGGCGTACTAATAATAAATAATCATATCAACTATTTGGTAAAACGCTTAACGCCATATTGAACCCTGTGAAATAAATGATGCTGAAAATAGTATGAATGCTAAGTTATACTTATGGGAACTTCTTTCGAATACCGTAGTTACGTAAGTATGTAAATTGACATTTCTTCACATAGTATAAAAGGGATCATAAAGTGAACAATAACCAGTCATCTTCAATAATTCATTAAGTCCAGAATAAATCTGCAGAAATCGATCCAATTTTGATATTTAGTTGTGTATTAAAAAGTAAGTTAAGCACCTGTTGAACAAATCGGTCGTTCATGATATTTTTCATGGGTAACATTTAATGTTAACTTAACACATAAATAAATATCATATCTAGCACTCCTTTATGTGCTTTATTTCAATTTATCAGATTCACAATAAAGTTATGAGGATAGGCGATTCTTACGTTTGAAAGATGGTGCAGGACTTGTATTACAACTGCATTACTGATGAGTAACTAGCTTGCTGTGGCACAGATTTTTTTTGGTATTACATTAGTCAGTCGGAAGCTGTTTCTTAATGATTGGTATATTTTTTACCTTTCCAATTATATCGAACTGATTTTATGCTTGTCTATGCTTAGAATTAATTGCTGCTGCTGAGTTCAAAGTCCCGAATGTTAGTTTTAATGATTATTTGTTGAAAAACCGCTTATTATTCACATATATTCATACTAAAATATTGTGAGAAGCCAAGACAGTAATTTGATATTAAAAGACTTCAGATGAGTTTTTTTCAGTGGATCTAATGAGTGATTTTTATCATGTAGTAATATTGTTTGGACCAAGAATGAATTGGACAAATTTGGTTCCAGTCGAAGACTGCTACGCGATAGATAGTGTGGATTGGAAGTGACATTTAGTGAACACTATACTATTTATCTACTGGATCAAAATCCAGTGATCATCATTTCTAAATCCCGTTGATTTGTGATGTTGCACGATCTTCATTCAATCTCACTTGATAGTCAAAAAACTACAGGAGAAATCGTTACATCAATAAATAATAGATAACATATCACTGTTTACAAAAAATCAACAAACATTTTGTATATCTTGATTTAATCTATGATACAATTTATTTATTTCATCCAGTTCCAAACTTGACTTTAAACTATGTACCATACTTTCTAATTGACCAATACTTTCTGAGACTGTATGAAGAAGACATTTTGTTTGAATAGAGAATTTATCGTAATCCATAACGATCCTATAATCGAAGATTTTTTAAAATTTAGGACAAAAAATATAAGGATGATCATTCAACTATTATAAGCAAATATTTGGTAAAAAGAAAGCTTACTGAAACAAGTTCTCGAAAATAATTGAATTTAACAAGATAGTTAACTTCCATTAGTTACCTATAGGCTACATGTTAAGAACATGTCAAATCCGTAATATTGTGTCTCGTAATCGACTGAAGTACAATCTGGACACATTATTGATTGGGTATGAAGACGATGCTGTACAACGTAAATTTATATATCCGTTGAATGTCTTATAAGACTTGATAATAAGTGAGAACAAGCACAAAGACTGTGTACAGTTTAAATATAATTTTATCTTACCGTCAATGGGGACACTTCGATTATATCGCATATGTAGACCCCTTGATTATATTTGTACCAACAGAGCAAACTGAATAAGCTAACGAAACAACTACTTCATGAAATCTATGAAATTTGCACGACGAACAGTAGGATTCCAGACCTTGTATCCAGTGTACATAATAAATTAATGACCCTTGCACTGACCTACTTCATTATTGACGGGATAGTAACCTTCACACTTTAGTCGGGAAAGAATTCATTATCTCAGTATTTTGTTTAGTTACGAGGACCGATACCACTAAGATCATGCATACGCTCTTCATGATTATCTACAAAATATCCAACAAACCCCATGAGCCGTAACAACAGATGGAAATGATGCACCATAATTTCACACAGAAGCTACTTCATCTATTGCTTTTGGGAGCTATCCATAAAAATATGTTGAAGCTGATGGAACGTCCGACTATTGCACGTTTCCTCATGGTTATGGCTACCAGCCAATCACACGGATTCTCTGATCGATGCGTCAATCGCTTCAAGTGATCTTGTCATCCCTCATCTATCACAGATTATGCCATTTCACCGTTCCAGACTAACTGAATCCGTAGTTTATTTTCGCTATCCCCCCTCCAATTAACTGGATTACTATCATTTCAGCATTCCCTTGCTTTCTTTCCCAGTGCAAGCTGCTTTAGGTCTACGTCAGATTCGTATACAATCTTTCGATAGGGTCAAAGCAAGCTGGTCAAACACGGTTACATATGACGCTTGGTGAGAATGATTTAATGTTATCGTCAAAGAGTAACATGCAGCACAACCAGCCTCGATACCCCGAACGTACGTTTTAGAGCCTGTATATTAAGGCTAGCATGCTTTGTGATGGTTTTCTATCTACTAAAGTTCGGCGATTGTGTGGCGACCGGAATTGCACTGATTTCCGACGCTGAGGTAGCGGACAGGATGAAAGCATATAGGATATCTTACAACACTATGCGATGGTGGCCAATGGTTTTGACTTCTGGCAACTGAGTTCAAAGTTCAAACCCCGCTCCACCTAACTTGGTTTGGGGATTCGAATAGTATCATTAGACCCTACACTTAGAGTGCGGCTCATGCCCAAGTACCTGGTGAATGGATTAACTTTAATCTATAAATAACATTTTGTACCGAAACATTTTATCCGGTGCTGCTGGAGTAACGGTGGTTGTAACCTGATTACATCTAAACGAAGTAAGGAATAGGTACAAAATTTTCTGTCCAACATACTATATGCTGTTTTTAGTAGGATAAAAAATGGGGCATTTATTTATAAACTGTTCAAGTCAGCCGTTATAGCAAATACACTGCTGTTCATTAAATTTGTTGTAAAATCATTAGAAGCTTGTAAATTGTGTTTACAACTGATATTACACAAATTTTGAAAAGATTCATGTAGACAGATCAGTTTATTTTCACATTCAACAAACAACAATCAAGCCAATGTAGCAAAACCAAAACAACTGAAAGAAGTTCTTCTCTTTTTTTATTGAAATAAATATTAAATCAATATTACTCAAAGAAGAAATAGGTTGACTTTAATCTTCTTATATTGTTTACGAATTGTTATGAGGCTCTATCGATCCACTTCCCCAAATACAATATCCAAAGTACCTAAACCATCACAGTTATTAAATGCAAGCACAATGAAAGTAAATAAATAAATATTATAAGCCAATTACCAATGAATTTAAATGTAAAAGTTTATATTTCACTATTCTTTTTTGTTAAACATCATATCACTTATCTAATTCACACAAACACCTTCATTCTCTTTACTTACTTCATCCATGCATATATGTATTTTTGGTGACATAATTAGGATAGTAGTAACTTGTTGAAATATTGTATTCCGAAAATTCCATATTGTACTAAACACACAGAATTGAATAAAGTCATTATTATCATTAGCACTACTATTATAACTGGACGGGTATTGAAAAATTGAACATCCGAAACCGTCCTATCTGAAATAAACTTTTAGGATTTTATTCCTTAGTTGTTAAAATAATTAATTTTTTGTACATTTGTGTTCTACTGTTTGTAGGCTTTTCTGTGATGAATATTGTTGTAGTATGTTGTAACTTTCTTAGGTTACTGTTAATTTATTACGGGTCTACTACTCAGTTCTCTTTCACTTATGGAGTAGCTGTACCGTTACTGCAATTTCTTAATTATGCTGACAAGTGATCAAGATTTTACTCTGTATTGGTTTTTGAATCATGACTTAATAATAATTATAGAGGCAAGCTGATGACTTCTCTCTTGGACTCAAGGTAGAATAGAAAGGCTTAGGTAAAAGGAGCTCTGTTGGGATTGGCCTAAGGTTAACGGTGTAGGTCAAAAATGTAATTGGTTGGATTATGGATACTGAGCTACAAACAGAATAGGTGCGAAATAAAGAAAATTGTGGAAGGAATTCCGATTGGCAGATTCAACACTTGATGCCAGTCAGCGATGTCGAGTCACTATTATTATTATTATTATTATTATTATTATTATTATTATTATTATTATTATTATTATTATTATGCATCGAATATAAGCTACCTATAAATTTTATAAATTTTAAACAATATGAATATCATAAATAGTGAATGTTGATAGATCAATAGGATGAAGGGATTTCATAAATATGCATTTCATCTACACAAAGACAATTCCCTTGTAAAAAACAACGAGCCAAAAATAATCAAGGCTGTATATTAGAAATTAAATCAATATACTGAGATGAAAAAGAACATTTGTAGTTCAGCACGAGAATGTTGATGGTGTTGTGATTACTAAACCATCCGGCTCATAGAACACAACACCTTCAAAATCAACATGTGTACACTACTGAAAAAATCAAGATAACCCATGTAATATATTTAAACTGAACATAATACCTCGACCTGGTGATTTCAGTAAGTGAATATGGTTACAGACCGTTAGGACGAAAGTTGATGATCACAAATAGCGTCGAGGGAAAATAGAAAAATTAATGATACTAATAAATTTTGTTTCCTTCCGAAGATTTGTTTCATAAGTCAACTATCTGTTTTATTTACTAATACATATATTCTTTTGATAGGATAGAATGATAACTGGAACCAGTAGCATATAGCTGAGACGAGCATGTGAACACCGAAACTATCACACTTATTGATTCAATTCAAACCGACAAATTAAAATTATCATAAAGTTTGTTTTCAAAACGGCAGTATTTAGACTGTTGTACAGATATTTATAAGACAGAAATGTACAGAGTTAGATCTAACTACTGTGTTCAATTCTAAACCTCGATATCATTATCTGACGCTTCTTAGAGTCATTTATTGTATTGACTACAATATATTATTTAAATATGATTAAGTAGTTTAGGCCTATTCCAAAAAGAAGGGCTTTTGATTGATTGGTAAAAGTCATGACAGCTAGTTCATGATACGAAACGGTTAGAAACAAAGAATAATTAAATCTTAAAGCATGATTTTCTGAGACCAAAAGTCGGATAAAAAGCTATTCATCAGAGATAACTTATGGCCAGTATTGACGTTAATGCAACTTTCTGTTATATATTTTTAAATAGATATTAAAGCAAATAGAATTATAACGCAAGCTCCACTAAGTACATCTATTATTCATCTCGTCTGATATTTTTCGATATTAAAATGTTCATTTAGCTGTTTCCTTTCTTCATAATTTCACTTTTATACATAGCGTAGTATACTTTTCTTAGTAAAGATTCGCTATATACACAGTTCTAGGTTCCAAAAATGTATGCCAAACGCTTCAGCAATACCAAGAGAATTTAAGCTCATTGTATTTGACAGGTTTTTGTACACCATGCTGATGACTTTTAATGTCGAGTCTGTTTGTTTAAGTGACTCATAATAGAAATTACTTATCGAAAACAGATATCCACCAATATTTATCGACACACATATAAGCTCAATGTCCGGCGCTTTAACCGGGTTGGTGGACACGGAAAGTCCACCTAGGGGAGTTGGGAAACCCTGATTCCAAACCAATGGTGCACATGGGCTCCGGTATCCGGAAGGAACAAATGACGTATGAATCAATCGTTGGTCACCGGCTACCATGGGACTGTATCTCCTCACGATGCTCCACTGACTTGTGGATCAGACCTTTACGTCAAAAACTCCGGGTGTGGCCCCCTAAGAAAACCACCTGATTCAGTCTGGGCACCTGGGCAGTATCACAGCCCCCACACAAATCAAATGAGATTTGTGCGGCGCATATATATCTGGTGCCCCTTGTACCAATATTTATGTGTTTAAATAAATAAATAAATAATAAAAGCTCAAATTTCAAAAAATATAAATAAACGCCGTATCAAAAGAAATGTTTTACATGACTATTTATTTTAAAGGTGAAAAAAGTGCAAATATCTTGAAGAGAAGGACTAACTCCCTTGAAAGAATTTTCTCTCAAGTGTAAGAGGATTTAAAAACATTATCCGGGATGATTCGAAAGAAAAATACAAATTCCATAGGAAACCTCATAATTAGACACCTTGTGAACATAGATCAATTCAACTAAAACAGACTACGAGTTCAAAATCATTTGAAAGATAAACAGAAATTCATCCTTTAAAAAACTTTCATTTCAACCACTTGTATTAAAAATTCTAAAACATTAAATATAAAATACTCATAAAAATTATTAACATTATCAACATTAAACACAATGAATTGTTACCTATAACTGCGACTACATCGGGTAACATAAAACCCCGACAAAGTTTATCTATTGCCGCCATGTGAGCAAAGCCTGGAGCTTTGATTTTGCATCTGTATGGTTTGTTTGTACCATCAGAGACTAAATAAACTCCAAATTCACCTTTCGGAGCTTCAACAGCAGTATACGTCGATCCAGGTGGTACCTTGATAGAAAATGAAAAACACTATTGATTAAATTTTGAAAATAAAATTGGGATAAATCATAAGAAAATTGTGATAAATCGAGCAAAATGTTTCCAAAATAAATTTTTCTTATACATGTAATTACAAACTATGAGAAGCCTTTATACTAATAATAATTCCGTCCTCATTAGGGAATAAAGTTTAGATCGAAATCCCAGAGTTCTCGTGGAAAGCCATGAGAAATGAAGTCCAGCCATGTCGAGTGTAAGACAGTTATCCACATCAGTCAAGGAAAGACGGTCGTGGGCGAGACTATAATTCATGGACAAACCAACCAGGTATAAGATAACGAGCCTTGGATTTTACCGCGAAATTCATTTACCTATTTGGTATTATAGCTGACGTCAGTTCGTGATGAAAACCGTAAATCTAATTCCTAACCTTAACCATCAATAGTAAACCATAATTCTAATTCTCCACTGATAAGTCTTGCTAATTGAACGCTATACTCGGATCCTAAGCTATTCTCGTAACCCCCATGCTGAATCTACACAGAGACTTGAACACGAGAGAAAAGGCGCAAAATATGCGAGAAGTACGTTACTCCAAAGGTTCATTTATGCACAGAAAATATAGAGTTTTTATAGTATTTTATAAGTCCTTGGGTTTTCCTGAAAATTCTGGAATGCTACTAAACATAGTAGCAGTGGAGTAATCAGCTAATCAGAAACTCTATATGTGACTTTTCACTTTCGTGATGTTTCTAGCAAAACTTCTAGTCAACGCTGAATGGATAAAATGCTTCTTGATGTTTCCTGAGCCTTTCTTGTCTATTGCGAGAAATTTTCTGGATCACCCCAACATCCACACTGGTTTATAACCCTCATATGGTCTTAGGTATGAGTTGGACACCCTCAAAGTTACTCTAGAGTCGCTCAAAAGTCTTACGAAAATTATAGTCTCACCTCGTCAAGTGAAATATCCCGCATTGATTGCTAATAGACATGTACATCATTGGATTCCGGCTGAGTTGTTAAGAAACGAGGCGCTCGCTTGTGAAACTGAAGGGCCTAAGGATGCGATGCACACTGTCGAACAGTCCCATACGAGGACAAGATGGTCGTCTAGTGCTTTCTAGTTTCTAATAATGGTCTAGCTAAGATCAGCTTGTGATTCAAACCACGAAAACTTAACAATCCTCACGAAACCACTGTAGACAGCCAGTCAGCTATAACGTAGGACCAGGCAGATATATGCATCGGTCAGAGTTGCCATACCTCATTAGCACAACAAGGTGAACACCAAATTCATAGAAGCAGTTACTCTAAACAGAAAATTATTTTTAAAAATTAAGAAAACACGCACCAAGTAACCTTCTGAGAATAATTTGAAATGATGAATAAGAGCTTCCATAGAACTTTTCATTTCAGCACGTTTAGGTGGACAAATTTTGGCATCATCCACTTTGATCTCACCTTTGGGCATTTTATTAAGACATTGTTCAATAATACGCAATGATTGACGCATTTCTTCCATACGTACTATAAATCTTAATTGTTAAATAAGAAAATACTAGTGATTAGATTATTTCAAAAAGAAATCCATAGACTAAAATTATTGCCTCGCGA